GGAGGTATGTGGAATTATGTTTTACGCCAGTTAATCTGCAGAAATTTTATGTTTTCTGTTGCTGTGTCATCAAATTCGCATTAACTTGGTGGAAAGTTGCAATCCTGACATTAAAAGTGGTACAAAAGTTTACAAGATTTGCAAAAGCATTGAGTGGAAATTTCAATAAAATGTTTTTATTTTTTTTGTCCCCTCTTATTTCTAGATGGATGTCAAGTTGGCACTCCAGAATTCAACTGTTGTGTGGCACATTAAATTGTGCAATACAATTTTTAAAGTACCTTTTTTGTGCTTGAGTGTTGATGTTTTAGGAGAAATTTTTTTTTCTTTTTTCTCATTTTTTATTCTTAATTTCTAACATTGTGCGGCCAGGATGTAGTGTGAAGCAATCCTTTCTGCTTGAGGCCATGTGACAAATATTGCATGAGGTTTAAAGCTGTTCTAGCCAAGCGTGTGGTGTATAAATTACATGAGAATGCATAGTTTTGTGATCTTCAGTTTTGTTTTAGTTTTTTATGCTCAAGTTTCCCGCACAGGCCTATCATAAAAGCCACATTTCAATCTCTGATTTGGGACACTCACTTGTGAAGAAGCACAAAGTTTCTCTTGTACTTTTGATCCTGATACTTGCCATCCTTGTTTTAAAACATTTTAAGTTTACTGGAATGCATGCATGATTTGTTGCAACCCCTCAGACGTTGCTTTGCAGTTTATTACTTTGCCTTAAACTGCTTTTCATGTGGGTTCTTTTTTTTTTCTTAATCATTTTAAAACTTGAAAACATTGGGTTAGATCTGAGGCTTCAAATTTATTTCACAATTTGCTAACATTCAATATGTGACCTTTTTTTTTCTTTTAAATAACAGCTTTTAGTAATGTTTTTTTTTTACTTTCCATTTGTTTTTTTCCCTCCGATTAAAATTGGGGCACATGTCGTTGCTCAGTTAACCACCCCAGTCTAATAGGATTATTTTGGACCAAGTGCAAAATATTTTAAGTGTTGCACCAGTGCAATGCAACTTTAGTAATGTGCACGCATTTTAAAAAGAAAAAAATACTACTGAATTTCTCTTCCTCTTTGCTTCTTGTGATCTGAAACAGTTATCTGATTGTTGAATGGTTTTCTGTCCTCTTCACTGTGTAGATAATTCAGAAGCCATATATTCCATTTAACCTGAACAACGTGGTGATTGAATGTTACACTATAGAGTTTCGAGATTTAAAGACTTAGCCAGAATTGTGTAAAGTGCTGTACCTTCCATCAACATGGAATACCATCCTTTGTACAACTTGCACAAACTGAAATAAAGATATTGAAATTTAAAACTGCCCTTTTCTCTGAAAGTTTTCATTTAGCTCCCATTATAAGCCGCCTCCTTTAGATCTGTCATTGCTAATTTAGTTCAAAAGGTGTATTTTTGACATCTCACAATTTATTAACGGTGAACTTTTAAAGTGCTGCTTTTATGTTAATGCTGGACGATAAGATGTCAATTTCTGTACTGTGACTGGAGTGTCCCTCGAGTCTTGCCACAAGCATGAGCATTTTACACATTCCAGACTGTACTGAACGGTCAGCTGCTGTCAAGACCAGCTCCGTCCACAACTCTGGATGGACTAGATAAGATTCATGGGAAGCCTGGAGTCGGTCTGCCTTCTGAACGGGGCTAAAGCAAAGGTAGGCTGAAGGAAGGCTCTGTTTTGGCAGACGAAAGTCAAGCTTGATTGAGCTGGTGGTGTGGAGACGAAATTATGACATGAATCAAAATGCAAAGTTGACCAATTCTGATGAAATTGAATACTTGTTCAATCCACTTGTAAAGTAAGCCATGAACAAAAGGCCAAAGCTGTGACGTGCGGCTAAAATGATTAACTCTTTGAGGGAGGAGTATATGCATTTTTCCAGGTCCTTAGAGCCATTTTATAGCAATCAAATAATTGTTGCCTTCCGTCTAACTAATGCTGCATGTATAAAAAATTAAAGACAAGGGGCTCTACAAAACTTGGATGCATTTTCTTTGTATTGCAAAAATATATGTATATTGGGATTTTTGGAGGTTTCACCTGATCAGATCTGCCTATTTTGAGTTACAAGTTGGAAGTGGAGCCTCCCACGCAATTCAAGAACACGACCAACAATTTCTGAATATTAAGTCAACAATAAAATGCTTGGTATTTTCACATGCCATTGCACAGCTAGGGCTGGACATAACTTATATGCCAATACTGTTGATGCCAAGGTGAATATATGATCAATACTTGCATGAGGAGATCAGTACTTGAGTTTGCAGTTTCTCTACATAATGTCTACTTGAATTTCATGCCAGCAAGCATGCAGGAAAACACTAAATATCAGAAGCTTACATTTTGAGTTTGAGAGCAGGATTTTATACATTTGGTGAAGTTTGCACTGAACTTCTTTCTTTCAAATACAGTTTCCCCACAAGCACAGCTTCACAAACATTGTGCAAATGGCGCATCTCTTGGCTCTCACTGAGAAATCTGACCGTATCAGTTTAGCATATCAACTAAACTGTCCATTCAGACACCTGGAAAGATCACTCAACGTATACACTTTTGTAAAGATGCATATACCTCACACCTGACATATGGACATGGCTGAATATAATGGCCTGTTTGTGTTAACTATTAAAGGGGAAATTGTATTCTTATACAATTACAGACTCAGTTATCCTAATAAATTAGCCAGATATTAGCAAATGCCTGATGGAACCGCAAGTCTCATGGACTCATCATACAAACTACTCAGAAAGTTTGTAAACGTCATAATGAGAAGCATTGTTGTGATGGTGTGCAGAAGGCGGAGTGTCGCCAGGAACAGGAGCTTCTTAAAGACACGGGCCAGTTTCAAAGAGTCAAAATACAAATTCTATTTTAAGTCATATTTGATATGCACTTCATTTGTACAACTGAAGGTAGCAAAGTGCCTGAGAAAATTTATCTGAAAATGCATAATATTCTCAGGTATGTTATGTACCTGACAATACAGGTACAAGCAGACATTTTTTTTTAAATGTCTGCTTGTTTTAGATACTAAAAAACATTCATAGAAGACGGTTTGGTGCTCTTTTAGTAGCGGAAGACATCCAAGTGGAAGTACAAGAACATGCAAAAAGTGAACTTTGCAAACAGGTCTCCATTAAGAAGTTCTTAGTCTTTTCTACAGTGGTCCTCCTGTATGTCATCACAACGAGGCTCTGTTATTCTGCTTACAGTTTTTCGGAGCATTGAACTGAGAAGTACTTTGCATGATGAGCTCAGCAGTTTCACAGTTGACTATTTATTATGAGCTTGAACTATAATAACCACAATAGCTTAATACAAGTCCCGTCTGTTTTGCCAACAGACCTCTGAAGTCCCTCATGCATCACACAGCAGTTGTCTCTCTCATGTCCACCTTGATTTAGCCCTAATTCATCAAAGGTAGGTTGCTGAATGAATGGCAGCCAAGAAAGTATGGCAGGAATCTTCTTTGATCTCATGCACTTTGCCTTGCATCAGCGAGCTCTTTGTTTTGCTGCTGTCTGTGGTGTGACATCTTTGAGGTAAATTTCAAATCTGATGAAACACATGAAGATCTGTTGTTTGAGAAGAAGACATAAGAAACCAATGCTGCCGTGTGTTGTTTTTAAAATGGAGTTTTGCAGTAATAGTTGCCAGATGTCCTTCTCGCCATAGCTCCCAGTTTATGGTGGCGTTCACGTTCAGCAGCTAAATATTAAAATCAACCTTTGGATTTCTGCGTTCTCGTCTTGGCATGCTGCTTAGCGCCAGCACCTCCTTTTTTAAGGCCTTTGCCCAGTTGATGCTGACTATCCAAAGGTCTCCATCTCGCTGTACATACAAAAACATTAACTGTTTACACATTGCTGGGGGTATCCCATACCTCAGCTGAATCCATTTTGATTAGACAGGCACTTTCCTGACTTCCTTCTGCACTTTGAGTCGCCTTTTACAGAAATCTAACATCTCTCCTTGAAGAGAAGTATCACAAAAAGTGTAGAAATGCAATCTAAATAAAATGCCAAGACATGATAAAGATTATCCAATTAAATAGACTTTGGTCTTCATTACTGTCACTAATCCCCATTTATGCAAATGCACTTCCTATCAAACTGCTTTTGCAATTTGATTTCTGTATATTTTTGTTGGTGAAATAATTTAAAACTATTTCCAACCCAGTGGAGATAGTTTTTCCTCATAACTTATATCTATTGAGGTTCAGCTGTTTTTATCTTCTCAACAAAGATATTCGTTTTTGTTCAACATTAATGTTTCTCCCAGTTTTTGTCACTTGCAGTCTTAACCTAACATTGAGGGGGGTAAATATTCAAACACGTCACAAATGTCAGTTTGGTAAGAAAAATAGATGTAATCTTTGTGGATAGCATAGCTGGAAAATCGGAGGTGCAATCTGTTTATGCATAATATTTCTAAAGTAATGTTTAAAATAGCTTCTAAAGATGTGCTCAAGCTTTTCGCTACCAATGAAGTTCACTGGGATTTCAATTGTGCAATTTCCAGGTTTGTCCACACGGTGGCGCCATTGGACCGCAGCAGCATCTCTGCCTGGCGAAAGGCTTTGATCGGCCTGGAAACGGCAACAGGCAGAGGCGGCTGTCGCTCTCCTGGTTGACTGTATAGTTTGGACAGCCTGGATGAGAATGACTCGTTATCTGTTGTTACTCGTTATCTGTTGTTACATGATCTATTGACCGAATGTTCATAGTTTCTTAAATTATCAACAAAATGAACAGAACTTTGTTTTTGGGCCCTTTTTTTTGTCACCTTTATCCTGCTGCTTTACCAAAACCAGCAGAGAAGACAACTTGGTATTTAATCACGTTAAGTTACTACTGCTTTTGTTTTACTTGTTTTTGGATTCCCTTCTTTCGGTGTGATGGCGCCTGGGTGTGTACAGTTTTTTTTTTCTTTTCTTTTTTTTTTTTTTGCATAAGCTACTTGCGTGTGTTTGTTTCCCATGTCATGTCATCATCTTTAGATCTTTATTGCAGACATACAATAAAACAGCTGACAGTGTGCAGCCATAGTAACGCCACGCCGCTCCTCTCCCTGAAGTGATGTGAATGGAAAGTGGAGAGCTGCTCCTCCTCTCTCCAGGTTCGAGGTATAAAGGGAGTCTCCTCCTGCCGGTGTGATGGACGAGGAGGAGCCCAGATTCCAGCAGCCTCTGGCGCCTCCAGTATCTGCCAGACTGAGCGGACGCGCGGATGATGGGAGCGGCTGGGGGGCCGAGATGAAGAGATTCACGCTCGGAGGCGGGGCCGCGCGCAAAAGCTCCAGCAATAACAACGAGCTGTGGCTCCTGCAGGACGAGGACTCCTTTAAGGAACCTCTGGGGACCGCTGACAGCGCCGACTCTGCTTTGTTATGCCCCGGGGAGGCTGCCGGTGGCCGGGGCGGCTCAGCGTCAGAGCACCACAGAGGGGACACAGTTTCGGAGGCGAGCGTGACAGGAGCGGGGCCCGTCGGGATGATATGCAACAAGAACGGAGACTGTAGAAGGGACCCGACCAGTTCAGGGAGCCTGTCGTCTCTCATCTCCAGACTGGAGAAGCAGGCGGATGGAGCCGTAGGGAGTGAGGACGGAAAGGGGCAGGCCGGGGGGATGGACGCCTCTGTCACTTCCGCGGGGTCCCTAATTCAGGGGCCGGTCGGGGCTGAGGTCAAGACCAGCGCAGCGACGGAGAAGAAGGACTCCAGAGTTTCCTTCTCCAACGCCCCGACCAGTAAAGGTCAGATGCCGCCGGGCGCGCAGCCAAGAAACTCTGTCACTTTCACCAAAGCGGAGGACAGCTCTCAGATAGTTCCGGACGATGGGGACTCTAGGGGCAACCAGACGTACATGCAGCGGCAGTTCAGCTCCATGCTGCAGCCTGGAGTTAACAAATTCTCCCTGCGCATGTTCGGGAGCCAGAAGGCGGTGGAGAAGGAGCAGGAGCGCGTAAAGTCTGCTGGGAACTGGATCATCCACCCATACAGCGACTTCAGGTACGGGACGGTCTGCTGCGGGCTCACGAACAGGTCATTCTGTTCAAGTTTTATGTGAATGGAAGTGATGAATAAATAAGAAAGAAAGAAAAAAAAAAAAAGGCCACGATTTCTGATGTCAGCAAGTGATGTTCGGTAGACTAAAAATTATAACAGAGCCTATCAAAAAAATAAATAAATAAAAAGAAGTAGCCTACACACAAAAACAATTATTTATCATTAAGCATACAGTTATTTTTTATCTTTCCAATTTGAATGGACCCACTGAGGCCGCTGCTCCACGTTTCTCATTGTCCGTTTGATAAAATGATGCGTTCACGGCACTACTTTTTAATGGCCATGTCAGTTCTGCACAAGTTTCTTCGGAATGTGTGGAAAAAGTCGATTTCAGCACCACGGACAGTTTAAGCCATCGTCCACTTTCTTTACTGCAGCGCCAAAACGCCCCTCTCTCATACTTCTTATTGATTTATTCATCAATACATTAGAATATCACTAATGAAGCTAACTGCTAACAGTTAAACACGCTTAGCAACAGATAGTTGGTATAACAACAACCTTTGTGAAGCAGCCCAGACATTTTAGAGCACTGCTCCACTCTGCTGGCACACTTGATGGAGATGCTGGTTTCGTTTTCCAACAGGACTACCAAGCATCGATACCTGATTTAATGACGCCGCTGTCACTGCGCTGGGCTGAACGCAGCTGATATAAACCCAGTTCAGAATCTATGGAGTGCACACCAGAGCCAGCAATGCAAAATGGCTGAAGGCTGCTATAAACGCGTGGTTAACCATGCCATGCTGCACTGATACAGCAATAAGAAAAGAGCCACAGTTGAGTATAGAGTCGATAGGTTAATGGACATGCTCTTCAGCAGGCCTGTGTTCAGAAATAATTTTATGCAACATCGAAATGCTCTGAGAACTGAAATATTGGGTGATAAGCTATAATAGCTAGTAATAAGTTATGACCATCAAAATTGATAGAAATACATAAAGATTCTCGCTCTGCATGTAAGGAAACTGCACAATACATGTGTTGCACTTTTTGAAACAATCTAGTAAAATAAAACAAAGTTTTCAGTGATTTGATTGGTAGTGAAAATGCTGAAAAATGAATAAAGTGAGAAAATTAAAGTAATCTCTACCAGTTTACATCTCTGTTGTAAATGTCAGCACTGTTTTCTGGGCATGTTCCCATCAAGGGTGATTTGTTTCATGCTGTTCCAGTAAAAGTTATGAATGCTGCTGGAGCCTGAACAGCAACTTTACTAGCATGTGATATCACCTGCTAACAGCAGCACCGTGTCTAGACAGTTCCGATTTTACTGTGCCCTTAATTCTTTTTGACAGCCATGATAAACAAGTGGAAACATCCTTGAAAGGAAATTTATCTTCACAACACTGAAGCATTTCGAAAAAGGCAGACTTGTGGTTTAAATACCTTCATTTAGAACATATAAAAAAGTCTACTTTCTGACTCCTTTGACAAAATCACTGTCACTGCATGTTTTATATGATTTATTTATCCATTATTTTACCAGGAAGTTCCATGAGATAAAATCTTTTTTCTGGGCCAAGTAGAAAAACAGATTTTGGTCAAATGAAGCTTGGTGTGAAGGAAACTATATATATATATATATATTATATATATATATATATATATATATATATATATATATATATATATTTATATATATATATATATATATATATATATATATATATTATATATATATATATATATATATATATATATATATATATATATATTATATATAATATATATATATATATATATATATATATATTATATATATACAGATAATCTTTATACAGATAAGCTTTATACAGATAATCTTTGTTATATATATATATATATATATATATATATATATATATATATATATATATATATATATATATATATATATATATATAAAAGAACAAATTGCAAACATTAAAAAAAAACAGAAAGGTCAACAAAATCAGTAAAGTCCTGTTCAGTCTGTGACACCTGTTCTCATGTGTTCTTGTGTTCATCATGGAGTTTTTCAAAACTTTCTTTTCAAATCAGATAAAGTTTTTCAAAACATTATCTGTAGCTGTAAGTATGTTAACACTGAATGAGATTTTTAAAGAAAAAGTCCCTGTTTTCCAATGAGTTCATGATGCAATGCCCTCTATCAGCATTCATTAGGACTTTGAGAAATGCTCCTAAGATCATCCTTAGTCCTGTCTGATGGAAGCACACTATGCCAGTTACAGGCCCAGAGTTTTTTTTGGCAACTTCCAATTATTTATCGCAATGCATTGACAGAAAAAGCTTTTTAATGCCATGCTTCTCAAAAAACACCTGTTGTGTGTTTTTTGGACAAAATGCCCAGATTTAACGGGCATTTTGTCTTCCCAAGATGCCACTTTTTTCGCAGCAGCAACAATGAAGTTTGAAGATTTCTTTCACTTCCGTTACCTTCCTGCTCACTATTCACTATTGTTTTTCTCCCAACGACCCTTATTTCTCACACCTCATGTGATGGCAAAGTAACAAGATTTTTTAAAATTATGAATTAATCATAATCAATATCACCAACTTAAGTTTTCATATTAATTTTAGTTGATATCTTCCCTTTTTAAGGGATCTTAGAGAAACAGGGCTCTGTGTCTCATGCTGTAATAACTCAAGTGTCTTATTCAAGCAAAAAGTAAAAGACTCAAACATATTCTTCAGTTGCATATATTTGTTTTGAAGGCCAAACAAAGACAGTTATTTCTCAATATTGATTTTATTTTCCCCATGGAATAAATGTACTGAAATCAAAGAACCATCTAAGATATTTTTAAGCTACTGCAATTAAAAACGGATATATTTGAACAATTTTTACCACTAATTCTGGTAGCTGCTCGAGATGGCCTTAGTCAGAGCAAACACAGAAATACATATTTATAACATATCATGTTGAAAGCTTCAGCGTTGGACCTGGCATGGATAAATCTTTGTTTTAATCATCTTCTGCTCAGGTTCTATTGGGACTTTACCATGCTGATGTTCATGGTCGGCAACCTGATCATCATCCCAGTTGGCATCACCTTCTTCAAAGACGAGACGACGACACCCTGGATCATCTTCAATGTGGTCTCGGACACCTTCTTCCTCATGGACCTGGTGCTCAACTTCAGGACGGGCATCGTGTTCGAAGACAACACCGAGATCATCCTGGATCCCAAGAAGATCAAGAAGAAGTACCTGAAGAGCTGGTTTATTGTGGACTTTGTTTCCTCCATACCTGTGGATTATATCTTCCTCATAGTGGAGAAGGGCATCGACTCGGAGGTGTACAAAACGGCCCGGGCGTTGCGCATCGTTCGGTTCACGAAGATCCTCAGCCTGCTGCGCCTCCTCAGGTTGTCCAGACTCATCCGTTACATCCACCAGTGGGAGGAGGTACGCTAATATTCATGTTTTGTCCTTTAATACAGGAACAGGGAGGTGGTTTGGTACAGATCACCAGTGGGTAAACAGCCACTGATGAAAGCATCGAGGTTTTGTTTCTAAATAGTACCTATCTGCAACAGCATGGAGATTTCAGCTAGAAACATGCTTTATTTGTTTAAGTGTTACAATTAAAATGACAAAATAAGTGTAGTTTTTCAGTTGTGGGAGTAAATAACTTTGAAATTGATTTTTTTTTTTCCAAAAAAGCGGGAATAAATAACCAGGTTTGGATTTTAGAAATATGCCAAAGTTCTACAAATTTCCTGTATTTCTTTGTTATAGTTTTTAGAATGCTTTTTCTTTTCAACTAAATTACCCACAGGAACGAAAGGTTTTCACACCAAAATCCAAACAGAACGAGAGACTTGACTTCTACTTTTTTTTATTTTTTTTTATCTCACGCTCTGCCTGTGCAGACAACGTCAGAATGTGCAGGATGCAGCAAAGTTTTCACATCATCAGACGTTTTTGAACCTCCTCTGTAGCAGCTCATGCGATTAAACGAGTAATTGTGTTTTGCATATCTCGACCGGGCATCCGTTCGTAATGGCTTTACAACAGATGGATAAATGAGGTTTTGCAATGCGTTATCACAATAAACCCGGTGACTGGATTATAGCTTAGTTTACTGAGGTAATTAATTAAAGCGTAGTGTGTGCTTGTCGGTAAGAAAGTGAAAAAGCGGTGTCGTGGAAATGTGAACAAACATTTCAGTGAGATTGACTGCGTTTCTTTTTCTCTTAACACAGATTTTATCTTTACACTTTCATGAGACATGACCGACGTCCAAGGCATGAAAAGGAGCTGAAAGACTAAAGCAGCCTGGATGCATCTACTGATGCCCAGAATTATTCATTCCCATGTATTAGCCTGATCTAAAACAAATTTCACCCACATGTTGGGTCTGAGAGGAAGTAATATTGTTTTGAAATGGCCCAAACATAAACCCAAGTTCAATCTGATTGCAATTTGTGAAAAGAGCTAACGATTAGCATGATGGCTAAAGAATAGTACAATAATTTATCACCCAGGAAACATGCAAAAAGCTGCTTACTGTTTGTAAGAAAGGCTTGGATTTTTCCATTTATATAAATATATATAATTGGAAAAATCCATTAACCTTCAGCTGCTCCACCTATGCTAACATTTTTTTTTGAAAAGTCATTTTATTTTGTTTTAACCCTGGTTTAAGCTTTGCAATTTTTACATTCAGCTTTATATTTGAAAAGTCACAGAAAATCTTAAAATAATACAAGAAAGCAAAACATAAACAACTTATGGATGACTCGCCATGTCGCACAGCAAATAAGCTTCATCAATGGACAGATTCATAGTCATCTGTAATATGGCCCATCCTGGCTGCACAAACAACAGTTACTGCTTGGTTTACCGGCCACATGTGCTTTTATCAATTTGTGCACAAACAGATCAGTCTGACAAACCAAACATCCACCAGCCGACGTGTGTGTGCTCTGGCTCTGAAGAAGCCGCTGCTCCTCTGATTACAGAGTGGTAATTTAAGTTCAGTGAGAGGGACAATTACCGATTCAAACACAGCAGCAAAAATAATGGCTCTGGCCTCAACTGCTTAGTTCAGCCGAGCTCTGCTCTGCTCGGCTCGATCCAGACTCAGACCCACCCCCAGCGCTCAGCTTACCTCTCTGCAGGTGTAATGATTTTAACAACCTTTTCCAGGTGAGGACACAAAACAAAAGGCTTTTTACATTTTTCAGGTTAATGAGAGTCTGAGTCCACGGCCAGCATTCACATATTATGAAGGAATGGATTATTTTTTATCTACCTCCTTCTGCTTGTGGTCACGGAGATGTGCTATGACCCAGATTGTGGCGTGACAGTGACACATAGCCAGGCGCTGCTATGGTGTCAGGAGGCGTATTAGTCCTGGAGACTCATTAATCACAATGTGAATGGCGCCTAATCAAAGGGTGAGCTGCTCCACGTCTTGCCCATCTTGCTTCTCCTTAACCAACCCAAGACATGAAGTCAATGGACATTTTTCAAAACACAGATGCTAAACACAGAACAAAGGGAGAAACAGCTTGGTGGTTTGGTGGTTAATTATGCAGTATTTATACGTACAACAGATTGAGAAGGGAAGAAGAACTTTGTTCATTAGGGATATTTGCAGAATCTAAAAGCATTTCTTATTTAAATAATTTATTCTGCTGATCTAGTAAGAGAAGCCAGTATTACTTTGGAGGCAAACTCCAAGATTTTTTTGATGATATAAAAAATCTTGTGTTTGAAATGATTTATTTCATTTTGTTGAAATGGAATACCAATTCCTACTAGATATTTAGTCACTCCTCCTATGAAAATACAGTTAAACCCAGTAGACATGTAGTTAGTGATAAATGTCACTTTTTTATGTTATGGTCTCCTGAAGAAACCTATGTAGATATTTGCATGCCTTTTAAGGTCAGGTTTTGTGTTTGTGAGAAACATTTAAAAAGTCTGGAAATAGTTTTCATAACATTTATTTTTAACACAATAAATTCCCCAAAATATTTCAATAAAACTTCACTCCATTTTGCTCATACCTGCTCATGAACCATGTTCACCTGTCAACCACTGGATTTTTAATTTGTCAAATAATTTAGTGGAAATCCTCTATCTTTATTTTACCCTCAAGTTCGTGCAGTCCTACTTGCAGTGAAAAGGGTCATATTGATCCCTACACACAGTCCTCATATCTTCACAAGAAATAACCCCAGTATTTGCCAATTTTAGTTCTGATTAACCCCTAATCTCTAACATGTTCCTGAGGGCCATTTGTTCAAAAACTAGTGGCTTTTATGGATATATTTGAGCCCGTGAGTATAATTTCCAGCCTATGTGGATAGGAGTGAATTCACAATAAAATCAAAGTTGTGCACTTATTTTTAGTAGTTACAGAAGAGAATGTGTTTTGTATTATTGTTCCCACCTGGAAAAAAAAGACTCCAGTGCATCATTAGCAGCTAAGATCACGGCCAAGATAGGTCTGTGCAAACCTCTGAACGTCACAACATGCATATCGCAAGTGGAGTATAATATGATTTGGGGTTTTAATGTTCCAGCGACCTCCCAGTTGCTGCCGGCAGGGTCTCTGATGCGACTGGAAGAATTACAGAATATCCTGACCTTGCTGCTCCCAAAGCTGTAAAATTCCTGACAGTGCCTGATCCTTTACATCTTCAGACACTTTTGGCCTAGTTCATGTTTATGTTGCAAGAAATTAACATGCTCTGGAATAAGAAGCCATCAGCTGGGCTCTCAGACATGCAGACATGTCTGGCCTACTTCGCCTGCCTGTTGGACACTTCTCCTGTCCCTAATGGGGAAATACACTTTTACTTATGATTTAGTGAAGCCTCCAGTTGCCCCAGTTAAATAAGGATTTCACACCATGTAATATTACCCCTCACCACACCTCCCCTCACACACAGTGGCAACCCAACCTGGCTGACTGCCAAGGAGACTGCAGTGATTAGTGTTTACCAGGTTGAGACCAGACTCTTACCTTATGCAGAGAAACAACACCAGCAAATCACCCAGATGTTCATTTCATCAAAATTTCTTCTTTGAACGTTCACAGCTTTTCACCTACGACTTGAGTCTAAACCTGTTGTATTAGACCTTTGAATATACTGAAGCTACTCTCCCTATTCGCAGATGCATGCACCATGTTAAAAGTGACATGTAGAAAAAAGTACTAGATATGCATTTGTTTGCTTAAAGCACATTCTTAGGAGCCTAGATCTAATTTTCTGCACCAATCCTGATTGAGTTTTAGGTGTGAATGTCTGGTAATGTGTAAAATCCACTTAAAATTGATGCAGCTGTATTGGAACACAATATTTTTTTTATAATAATTGTTTGCTTTTATTTTTCTGTTATTGCACATCTTTAAATGGATAGTCCTCCACTGTTGAGGGATGGATGGATGCGAGAAAGTAAAAAAAAAAAAGGGAGAAAGAGAAAGAAAGAATAAATACAGATATTTTGTCAGGTTTTTTCAGACATGTAAAATACCTCAATCAAACCTTTGCAGACATTATTGAAATGGTTGTGCCATTGCACCATTGTTAGTACATTGTTAGAAACTCTACTGTTATTTGTCATTGTATCTTTGGTTGACTAAATTATTGTTGTGTCAGAAGCCCATATTAGTTGAACTCTGGTGGTCTAAGTCATCAGCTGCAGATTTTTGCATGTGATTTGTATTGTACCTCACCTTGTATTTCACTTGTTTCCTCCCCCCCCCAAAAAAAAAAAAAAAAAAAAAAAAAAAAAAAAAAAAAATTATATATATATATATATATATATATATATATATATATATATATATATATATATATATATATATATATATATATATATATATATATATATATATATATATATATAATCACCCTTATGGCTTCATAATAAGCTGATGTCTTGAGTAAATTGGTCAAATAAAAGTCACATCCTCCAAAACAAAGCCTGAAAATCTGTTTCCAATGAATGTGTGACACCCTTCTGGATGGGCAGTGAAAACAGATCCGACTGTGTTTGCCATTCGCTGAGCTGTGACTGTGCTTGTTTAAACAATGATTGTTAATTCAAATCACACGTACAGCGCCACTTTGTCCCTCCCAACTCTCCGGTTGTGTGACCTCTCTTCCCATCTCTGCTCCTCCTGACAGATCTTCCACATGACCTATGACCTGGCCAGCGCTGTGATGAGAATATTCAACCTGATCGGGATGATGCTGCTGCTGTGCCACTGGGACGGCTGTCTGCAGTTTCTCGTTCCCATGCTGCAGGATTTCCCGTCTGATTGCTGGGTGTCACTTAACAAGATGGTGGTGAGCAGTGCGCCTTGTTTCTATGGTGCCTCTTAACGAGCTCGTGCCGGAAATTGCAGACGACAAAAACGTCGGGCAAAAAAAATCAGCGACAGTCAAAACATGGAACACGTTCTCCGCTGGAACAAAGCGGAGAGTTAAATGCAGTCAAATTAGGAAAATGAGCTTCACCCAAAGAGGAGCTTTCACACACGTGTGTGTGTGTGTGCAGGACTGCTCTCAGCAAAAACACGGAGGAGAGGAGATGCTGAAGAAGAGCTTTTCTTGAAGCTGTCTGTTTGGCCATGTCCTGACAAGGCTTTCCTTGTATTACACAGAGATAGATAAACCTTTTAGTTACTTGAAAAGCTATTAGCTAAAGCTATAAAGCTTTAGCTAATAGCCGAAAAACCTTTTTAAAAACATTAGTGGCACTAATTAATCTCTTGAGCAGGCAGTTTCTCTGTTAACGTTTCTTTTTGTCATAGTCCATTTCTGCAAAGCAGACTCTTTTTGTTTCATCAAAAACTAAATAAGCTTCAGTCAACCAGTAGAATGTCACCACAGACTCCCCATATGTCCTGCATGGCGTGCCGATGGGTTTATAGCATTTGGAGAGTTTAGCATGGAACGAAAAAGCTACGCAGGCAGAAAGTAAAAATCATTATACCCTCGGAGCTGAGACAGTACAAACTTAATAAATCTACTTGGTAAAATCCAGTGCACTCCCCTAATTAATAACTGGAACAGGCAATGTCAGCGTTATGCTGTGGGAATCAGTCAGAAGTAATGACTAGACACAGGGAAACCCTTTGGTTAGGATAATATTAATGACAGAGAGCACATGCTGGAAATAAATGATCAAATGAGAAATCTCAGGGCTTTAACTGGTATTAGTTACTTTGAGCATAATCTAGAATAGAATAATGGGCCTTCTCCATTCATTTCTGCAACTAGAATCCTCATATAATGGAAGTGAATCAGACAGGATAATTCCTCCTCTAAAGCTTCTGTCAGAGCCAGGCTCTCTTCACAGCTGTCTGACTCCGTTATCCCAACGTCCTATTTGCTAAGGCACAGTCTTCTTATTTTGGCACACAGATTCAACACAATCAGGTTGCTTAATCCCATGGCATAAAAATGCTTATTTGGATAGATGTGTTACCACAGTTTGTACAAAATAAAATGATAGACTTCCTGTCAAGTCCACATGTCTGCATGCTCGCTGACCTTGAAGAATATCATCATTACATCTCTGTCGATCCATCTGTTTTTTTTTTTTCTCCTGCATGTGTGTGGCAAAACAGAGTACATCCCTTCCAACTCTGTACAATACCTTTGTCAGGTTATAGACTTTGGCTCTTGGTTTGTCTGGAAAACCAAATTTTAGAATAGATTTCATGCCTCTTTCTTCTTGTGTTGTCCTTTTACAATCCTCGTGCTTTAGAATCTGACGATGTCGTCTCTGTACATGTGGCTGTGTTCGTATTTGATTTCGATTGGTATTCAACTCCACTTTCAGTATTATGTTTTGCTGATGTTGCGGTTTCCCAGTATCAGAGAGAGGGTCAGCTTCCACTTGGCTCGGTGACATTTGCGTGCCAAATGTCACTAAATGGTGCCAACGCTTTCTCTGCATATAGATCCTTAAAAAAATACGTATAACCACTGAAACTTTTCCCCACATGTTATGACTTCAAACATGAGGGTTTTTATTGGGATTTTATGCAACAGACCAACAGAATTCAGGTTTTCTACTTCCTTTTCCTCTCTCCGCAGCGCCACGGTGACTTCCTTGGCATGTCTGTTTTGCTATGTGCAACTTTGGGAGCTTTCTGTAATGTGTGAATATCGGCCTCTAAAGGCTTTAAGAAGCAACTGTTGACTTGTAAACAGTACATGAACATGCAGGATTCAACAGCTCAGTCATCACAACAAAGCAGATCTGCACGGTCTGTTACGTAAGTGACTCTGTGTTATGTGCATGATGACAGGAGGGTTTTACCCCCCCTGCCCCCGGTCAACATTACCTCAGGCTTATTGGCTGCTCAGTCAGCGACATTAGAATAAAGCTGCTGTCTCCCCCCTCCTCCTGTCTGTACGCTCCACTTAGAACTCAACTTATTGTGCTGCATTGGAAGAAGAGTTGTTGTAACAGCTAATTTGTTTATGCATTAATGTTTTATTCAGTCACCCACAGATGCATTTGAAAAACACTCCCAGGCTTTCAAAGTTAGTAAGAATATCCTCGTTTCATTCAGCTACTGAGGTGATCTGACTGCCTGGGAGGCCTGTCGGGGTTTGTGTGTTCAAGTAGAAAATGTAAGATCTGCTTGTGAAGGCGTTGCTGTGTGTTTGTGCAAATGACCACCGTTGTTATTTGGCCAGGATCCACCAGATAACAACGATACTATAGTTTAAGACAGACGTCTGAAATGCTGGATGCTTTCCCTGCTGTAAGCTGTGGCAATGCAGCCCAGCAAGCCAAACTAAATAATTGGACCCTAAAAGTGTTTAGATGAGGCATGAATTATATAACTAGGAGCTTATCTGCTGCTCTATAAGGACTGATTGAGACTTTATCTATCTGTCTGTCTGTCTGTCTGTCTGTCTGTCTGTCTGTCGTCTGTCTGTCTGTCTGTCTGTCTGTCTGTCTGTCTGTCTGTCTGTCTGTCTGTCTGTCTGTCTGTCTATCTATCTATCTATCTATCTATCTATCTATCTATCTATCTATCTATCTATCTATCTATCTATCTATCTATCTATCTATCTATCTATCTATCTATCTATCTATCTATCTATCTATCTATCTATCTATCTATCTATCTATCTATCTATCTATCTATCTATCTATCTATCTATCTATCTATCTATCTATGGACACCACTCCAATTTTGTTGTGCTCTAGAAACTACAATGCCTATAGCAGGTCAATTTTATGTTCAAGGTGTGACGTGTCCTTAAAGATCATCTGAATCAATAGAGAACACAGGAGAAGGCAAGGATCTATTCAGCAGAGCTGATGACTCAGTGAAAGGTTTTTCCATCTGGCCAACATCCTGCATGCCACATGGTCAGGCGCTATAACAGATTATGCTTGACAGCAATGGTAAAAACAAAAAAAAAAAAAGAAAAAGTGATTATTTGTGGCTTTTTCGGATCAGACACTTTATTGTCCCACAGTGAAATCTGTCTATCAGCTCATCAACCTTTTCATTCCTGGAGGGACTTTCCATAGTTGAAAATGAAAGGTCTTCTTCATTCTGGACACAGAAAAGACGCTTTGAGTTTAAATCATATGGTTGCAGCTTACATCATCAAAAAAAAATAAAAAAAATAAATAGTCATGGTTGCACTTCAGCGAACTATTTTCCACTTTTGTGTTTGGTGTTTAACCCTTCATAAGGCAGAAGTTACAGCCAAAGGAAAACAAAAATTCATATTAATATTTATCTTATAGAAAAACCTCTTTTTGTGCAAAATTAAACCTTTGAAGTAGTTTTTCTATTTTTTTTATCTGGACTATAAATAGTCCTACTTGCATAGGTGGAACTACATTTTTCTGAAAGTTCACAAAATGACAGCTGTGATGTGCCCTGCTGGGTTATTTGCCAGCCTTGAAACCTTGAGGGCTTAAACAGATGTGAGGCTGTAAAATGCAGCAAGTTAAGCAATTTTTAAAAAGTCTGTTTTTAAATGTGATCAAACCTCACCAAGCACAATATAGGTGAGTATGTATATCACATAATTTCAGCTCAGGCTGAAAGAATTTAATGTTTCACAACATTTAGAACCTTTTAGGTTGAACGGGTTTGTTTGTTTGTATTACTGGTTGGACTTGTTACCACATTTCCAAAAGAAAAAAACTTTTCTCATGTGTTTGTTAGCGAACTTCAGTGAACAATCAGCATTATGAGGAACCAGGAACACAGCAGAAAGGTAGACAATGGTGACGTTATAATCGCGGTTAAGTCATAAAACAATATGCATCTCACATAACACTGGATTTCAAGCCTCCTGCTCTGAATGCATCATTCAGACTGGGTATTTAAATGCGTCCTGAGTGACCACATGGATCCTTGATTAAGAGAACTATTCTGCTGCTTTTTTGTTTTCTGACTGTGGGCATGTTGTACCTTGGCAACATGTTGATACTGAAATCTGATTGGAGAGCACACCAATAATCCACATGTCCACAAACAATTTCTACAAAGTAACGGCACAAGTTAAAACAGATGCATGCAGTGGATTTCAGCTTTCATATTCGCAAAATTAATAATGAAAATCATGTATGCCATTCCTTCCACGTCACAATGAAGCACAACTTTGTGTTGGTTTACTCACAAAACATGCATATATACACAAAGTGTATTGAAAGTCAAGGCTCATTAATACTTTTAAAATGCTATATCACAATATCATGTGACTATATCACAGTGTTTTTCTCATTAATTTAATATTTAGGTTTGACACTGAAAGTGACACCAATCAATCAAAGTTTTATTTTATTTTTTTTGCTCTGTGTAACCTTGTTAATTTTCAACACACTTCAGCAGACAGCAAGCTATCTTAAGATGCTGTTTCCATTTAGTTCTGAAAAATAAACTCAAGCATGGACCCAGTGGCTCTAAATTATGAATTTAAACAAGCTATTTTTATGGATGTTTATGTTCTAAAATTATAAAAGTGAGTCCTTTGAGGTAAAACAAATGTCGGTTTTAGACATCGAGAGTGAAAAGCTCCCCTCCCTAACTTGGCACAAGCACACAGTCGCCTACCGATGTAAGCAGATGCATCCAGAGAGTCAAAGAGCCGCCACCCAGACGAGTGCGCTGGCGTGCACGTACAGGCACTACCCGACTGCACCATGCATTATCCATGTCCCAAAGTCCCTTTGTGTTCCTCCCTAAATGTATTATGTACAATTAGCTATCATCTGTGCAGCTCAGTGAAGACCGATAGCAAATAAAATGGAACACAAGAACTAATTTCATTTGGTTTTTTTCCGCCTCCTCGCTCCCTCCACCCCCTGCCGCCTTCACACAAGGTAGCATCTCTGCAGAATTAGTTTATTGTGTTACTCTGAAGATTGTAATTTCCTACAGTAAGAGACAGCTGTGCAATCTGTCGGTTTTAATCAGCTGTTAACTCAAACCTCGACACTAAGGGACTCTTCAGCTGCTTTCTTCTGCTAGGAGAGTTCCTCCCTTAACGAGTTTTATAATCAAACTGTTGTTACAGGTAAATGAAGACTTCGGGAAAATCTGCATATGGATATTTGTTGTGTGGCTGAGAATTAAAAGGCCCTGCTTTCCAGAAGGCAAACCATCAGACATCAATTAAATTGTTCACAATTGCGACTATAGTGCCTGGCAGTGAAAAATATTTTAAACGATCTAATCCTTGCCGTGTTTTTAACGAGCTAACCTTGGAAGTAATGTTCATGTGACGCTGTTCTACAAAACTGAGAAAGAAATCTTAAAGTTTTCGAAATGCCAGCCTTGGTGACCGTAAAAACGATTTCTAGGAATACAAGAAACGACAAGAGGAGTTAACCTTTGAACTGTCAGCGGTACATTTGTGGAAGCCAACATCAGTGGTAATTTTTCATTTTTCTGGAATCTTTTTTTCACTGCATTAATTTACCGAAGGAAAAATAATTCCTACTGGAGTGTAAAGATTAACAGTAGTAGTTCATTATCCTCCCCAATTAGCAGTACTGCTTCCAAAGATGTGCAAAAGTGTATTTATTATCACAGCAGCACAATCAGACAGTGAAAGATTTAATTGTAATCTTTCACTCTGCAATGGCAAGCTTTGTAGATATGTTTGCCTCCCTAATAAGCTCTATGCACAAATAAACTCAGTTCCTCCTCTAGATATTTTAAGCTTCTTAGGTATAGGGTTGACTTTAGGTGTACCAAATTTAGCCCAGGAGTTATTTCCCCAGTGGTGAAGATCACTGACTTGGTTCGCAGGTTCACAGTCTTTCCCAATTTGAACAGTAACTCAGAAAAATGGGCCTCAGTGTCACCCCAGATGTGCTAGGCCTTCTCATTCAGCAAGGATTTAATAAGCAATTTTTTTTATTCTTTTTTTTTTTAAGAAAAGTGAAGAAGCTCATAATTGTAAACTGGAAACAAATTTCATGGCTCTGAAATTTTTTTTTCAACCAAAACTCTCATTTCATTCAGTTCCAGAGCCAACACCTCGTAGAACTCAACTCTTGACGTATGTCTCTACCAGCTTTGAATCCATTTCACAGCATTTTTTCTGCGTCTCAACTTTGCCTGGGCCAGGTGTAACAAATAAATAAACTTTGCTTTATATTATTCCACTGTAACTCTGGCTGTGTATCTGAGGTTGCTCTGGACCCTGATCCTCGGCCTCCAACTCTGACAAACTTTTATGTACTCTCAAAACAACAACTACAAGTTGATGCTGCCTCCAACATGGGTCGCTTTGGAGATGGTGTTTTAAAGTGTTGGATTTTATCCACACATAGCATTCCTGCTACTTTGTGTTGGTTTGCCACTTTAAGTTTGTGGTTGACACAAGACACGGTATGAAAAAGCTCGAGGAGGAGGAACATTTTTTTTTTGCCAAACGTTGCATCATTCTGCAACACTCTCTTTCATTTATGCTGCGTGTCATGTTTTGTAAATGTAAATCCGATCCCAATGGAACAAAAACGTTCATTAAATTACTGTGCACTTATTGGTGCCTGCACTTTGCTCTTAAATCTAGTGCTGGACAAGAAAATCACAAAGTCAGAAACAGAGACAGACAGATTTAGCTGATTAAATCAGGATGCATGTTTCTGTTCCTTCTTCCAGTGTAAAAATGTTCCTAATCCTGACATTTATTCACCTACAGTGTTGCAGCATCCTGATAGCGGTTTTACATCTTTTCCCAACCTGTGTTAGTCAAAGTGAGCCTCACTCTGGTGCAGGTTGCCCAAAATTGTCTAAAAATAGCAGCGCTGTAAAACAAAACAAATGTGTAGATAGAGTAACTAAAACTAACGTGCTGTTTATTTATACTTTTAATTCTAACTTTGTTTTCCAAAAACAGGATGAGCCTTTCTCTGACTCAGCTTCAAGGCTCAAAATCATCCATGTTATTTTTTTTTTGTTTGTTTTGTTTTACAGAAATCTATTTTTTTTTCATTTCCTCACTTCATCTCAGATCACTTCACTAAATGGTAATTTTCTACCATTTGCCTTTCTGCAAACACATTTTCCTCCTCCCTCTTCAAAACCGAGTCCCATTTGAATCTCAAATTCAATGCAAATTAGGCTGGAGAAACAAATCAGATAAGAATCTACCCGATCAAACGGTGGCTTCAGGGCTTGCGAGTTTTCGAGGAAGCACCCTTCATGCGCGTAGGTAACCTTCAGGCGCTTTGCCCACAGCAGCTGTTTAAGGAGGGAAAGTGGGCTGCCAGTGAAGGGCTGTCTAATGAGTCCAACATGAGAGAATTAGGGCCAGTTGAGTGTCCGAGCACCAATCAAAGGAGAAACGGAGAAATCAGTGCAGACTCCTCATTAACAACTCTCTTTGTACGTCCTCTTTCTCAGCCGGGGCGAGGCAATTCTGCTTAGTGACGACGATTAGACCCTGAAACCTGAACCACTCAGCAGACACAGAGCTACAGACTTCTCCAGGAATGTCTCACCCATAAATACCTCTCATTTCCTAATGCATCCTCTCTTTCGCCACTTCAGTCACACTTGTACATGCTGCTGCTGCTTCCTCGCGAGAGAATAAAAGTATGACGCCTCGTCAGATTGGCTCTCTTGACACAAAACCAAAAACCACACCTGCTTACCTCTAACCAGCTTCTTCCGCTCTCCAACAGAATGACTCATGGAGCGAACTCTACTCCTTCGCCCTCTTCAAGGCCATGAGCCACATGCTGTGCATTGGCTACGGCAGGCAAGCCCCGGAGAGCATGTCGGACATCTGGCTGACCATGCTCAGTATGATCGTGGGAGCGACCTGCTACGCCATGTTTATTGGCCACGCAACCGCCCTCATCCAGTCTCTGGATTCATCGAGGCGGCAGTACCAGGAAAAGGTAGGGATGCTGTTGCAAATCAGTGAACTGGCATCTCAAACAACCCATGTGTTTGTGTTTAGGTCAGCACTTAAGAGCAAAGATTCAGCACAGAGCCTCACTATTAGAAACTGAGAGAGATATTACTGAAAACAAAAAAAGCACCAGCTCTGCCTAGGTTGCTGTGACATTGGCATTTAAAGCAGATGTCACTTTATTTCATCTTGCTGTCTAGTTTCCCACTTGTTTGTCAAATCAAGAAAGCAGGAAGCGAATTATATCAGAGTATTCTGGGTAAATATAGGCTAAACAAGAGCGAGAGAAATGGCTCATGTTTTTTTTTTGTACTAAAGACTATAGACCAGTAAAATCTGACAACACAACAATTGTTTTGCATTTAGCAAAGAAGGGAGTTCTGCTCATGTTGTGTTCTGAGGTTTTTGTGATGTTTCCTTCTGTAGTTCTTGGTGTTATCTCACCACAAGTAGGCAGGTTTTTCAGAGGGTTTGAAAAACGCTGCTATCAGTGCAGCATGACAGCAAATGTTGCAATTTTGGTCCCCAACCGAACCAAGTCTATCGAACTTTCAAATGTTAAACCTCCCTCTGTGTATCATGACATTATCTCTGACTGTTGTTCTCTCACCGATCAGTAACACCTAAAACATACTTAATATCAGGATTTCGCTGTTTCCGACGTTCTACATCAACCAGGTGGGACGTTTTGTTCCTCCGTGGACAATTTAAAGCATTTTTTCTGTTTTCTCATAGTTTTCTATAAGAAATGTGACTAAATAACTCCATCAGGTAATGTTGTTTGGCTTGATCAGACATCATGATCTGCCTTGTAACAGCAATCTGACCCAAACAGGGACTAGAATGAACAAAAACTGAAAAAGGGACTCAAAAAATTATTATTATTATTCTCCAGCCATTTGCTGTTGGGATTGTTTTATCAAATTGTTCATTCGTTCATGGTGAACATATTTCTCAAACCCGGCCGATGTCTGAACTAATACTATGTTGTAATTAGTTTCTTCGTGAGAAATAAAAAAAAGTCTGTGTGTAAATGACTTAGGATGCAGATCAGGCTGTGACCCCTAGCACTGCCCCTGTTTGCCTCTGTGAAGACATTACTTTCTGTCCATTTGCCCAACAGTGTAAATAAAGGTGTGGCATTTGATATGAATAGAAAGAATCGTTTATTTGATATCAATGGACTTTGATGGAAACAGCATCTGCTCCATTAGTCTGGTATCCATGGCTGTATCGCTACCAGACCAGCTCACATCTGGCCTCTTTGTACAGCAGAAGATCAAAGCTTGTGGAGTCTGCAGGCTGGAGAAGGGGGCCGCGCTTTTGCTTTATAACCCCGCTGTGTCAGGGGTGTTCTGTGACTTGTTAGCTCCCTCAGATCCTGGGTGATGTGGAGATCCTGCAGTCTGTCCCATCTGCACGTCACCGAAGAGCCCCCAAGCAAACACATCAGAAAAACAGGTCCTTTCCTCTGAACCCTAAAAAGCGTAATTATATCTTTTCTCTTTGAATTGTAATCATGTTGTAGATTCATTCTCCTCACCTTGTTGTTCTTGATTGATGGTGCATCACGTTCAAGACGGACCGCAGCTTTCCTGTTTCACTTTTTAAGGTTTGGATATCACCCCGCATCCACAGTAACGTTTACATTGATGGCTTTAGTGGCTGGACTGATTTTTAAAATGAAACAAATAACCAATGTTTACATTATATGACATTTACAAGCATAATATGGTTGTGATCAGAGTTCTTACAATACTCATCGTCAGGAGGGATGGCGTGAAACTCATGTTCATCAACTCTTAAAATTAAGAATCGTATACGTATCCAAATATTTACCGCAAAGTCAGAAACAGGGACTGACAGATTTAGCCTCCAGTTTTATCTGGTTAAATTGCTGAAGTAAGCTGTGAAAAACTGGCGCTTTTTGTAGCTATGAATGAAGTTCTGTTACAGTTCTGGATGAATGTTTGAAGTCTTGGCAAAATAATAAACGACAGAGTTGATTTTAATTAGCTGTTTTCCTGCCGTGGATCCATCTTTTAAACACAACTCACCATGTTTCATCAGGACTGAGGTTGAGGCTTTTCCAAAAGGTTAATGTTAGCCACATTTTCAGTTTCAAAGGTATTTTTGATGTTTATTTGTCCAACTGTATCCAAGTTGCAACTATCTACCTGCTGATTTGAAGTGAAGTCTAATACTGTGAATGTAGCCATCCACCGTCATCATTCCATCAACAGAACCTCCATCAAATAATCCCGCAGCATGCCACTTCCACCACCGTGGGTGAGTGTATGTAAACTTCTGAGCAGAACCCAAGATGACGCAGGTCAAAGGCAAAGCGCGTTTATAAAAATTTAATTAACAATTATCACTAATTGTCCCCAGTCCTCCTTTCGGTTTGAGTGAAAGACAAACTTTAAATTCCCACAGTTCGATTCACAGAAAAGCATAAAATTAAATCATTTAAAAAAAAGATGACGTTTTGGTTTGTTGACTACCAGCTTTGTGACTTTGCAGATTTGCTTTACATTTATCATCACAGTACCTAAAACTGCTCTTGAATAATGCTCACTGTTTCTTTAATTGCATAGCTTTTCTGTCACTGTACCACTAAATCCATTTTTGAAACCTTTCCTTAGCTTCATTGTGTGAGCGAGGACAGGAAAGAAAAAAGAAAGCAAAGAAAAACAATCTTACTGTACAATAGCAGTATAATTGCTTTCCACTTGAACACTTTGACAATAGGGCTGTACGCCTAAGAGGAGGTCCTCCTGCTGTAGGCAGAGCTTTGTGTTTAATAAAGACTCCAGAGAAAATGGAAAGGAAGGGCGAAAGAGCTGCTGACTCCGAGCTGGAGTCTGTTTTCTGTCAGTTTCTCGAGGCTCTCCTATGCCAGCGCTGTGACGTGCACAGCCGTCGGTTCCTGTCGTCCGTCCTGTTTCCTGTTCTCTTGTGATGCGCCGCAGAAAAATAATGAACAGAGATGCAACATCCTGCAAGGATGAACCAGCACAAATCATTCTCGAACCTATTGATCCCCGATGCCCCACGGCTGCTTTCGTCCACCATCAACCGACGGGGAACAGCACGCCGTACGGATCCGGATTGGAGCTGAACTTTGTGGGGAAACAGATTAATTATATGCAGTAGTGTAAATGCTAATGACAGCGCGGACGTGTGTTGACTCAACGTAAAGTAAACAGTCGGCGTTGTGAGCCATGTTAAGACAGAAATGTAATAACAGCTGTGATCGTTACCATCATCTCAGGCTGGGAGCCTCCGGATGAAAGAATGAGAGGATTTCTGAGGTTTCCTGTAGAGCTGCTTTAGACATACAAGCCCATAAGTTTCCTGCTTTTTCACAGGCAGACGCCTGATTTACATGGTTACTTTGTGATCAGAACAGAACAGAAAGAGGAACAGTGACAGGGAGAGTATTACTAACAAGGTTGAAGATTTCCAACAATTTTAATTTCTGTTTTTTTATTCTTTGACTACTTTTTATCAGCAGCTGCCATATTGGATTCCTTGGGTTTCTCTCTGATGTGATGGAGACGTTTCATTAGTTTTAAACTAAATGTTTTTCTTTTCTTTTATGAAAGCCTAGCTTTCATGCTTATCTTTCTAACTTTTGTAACTGTTGAAATGATTAACAACTCATTTCAGTAACTTCCTCTGATTCTTTAATAGGTTTAGATTTTGGTCTGAATTAAAAGCTGAGCTCAAGTTTAGGACTGGATTTCTGTCACTCTTCACTTTTTTCTTGGCATTAGCTGGTTTCACTAAACATATTATCAAAGTTTTCAATTATTTAGTTTCTGCTCAAATTCTGCCTAACAGAAAAGATAGCCCGACTAAATAACCACTAAGTTTCAGGTCACGTAGTAAAGACGACGTTTAACTTTTCATAATGTAGCTTATGGTCTTTGTTTGCTGCCTTTCCTTCAGTGGTGGTCTCCCGAATGGTTTTCACCCATGAAGCACTAAGTAGTTCATTTTGCTGCAAATGATATGAACTGAAAGCACAACCTCAGATGGTCAGGATCTTCCTTGAGTTCTGTAAATATGTTATTTTGTGAATTACATTTTTTGTCTCAGAGCTTTTCCTTTTAACAGTTTTCACAATAAAACCTTGACTGGGAAAATGATTAATAAAAATTCTACTTAATATCAGGTTCTGTTGATTTTTTTTTTCCGACTGTCTTATCTAAAGACCTTTTCGGATATGTAAATTGTCCTGGTGTATTTTGTTGTATATATCAAATCAAAATAAAATCTTAAAATTGTTTGGACTTCCCTTGACACTAATAATCCGCATCTGCTTATTGTCTGACTCCTGTAATGCTTGGGTTGTGTTTAAGAGAGGAGAAGAGGCGGCAGACTCGTCAGGACGGTCAAAAACTCACAACCGCACTGATACTGGGAACGCCACAGCGTTGTCCTTTAATAAACACTCTTCACCAACCTTACAAAGCCCGGTTGAACGACTACCATGTATTATCAGACATGAAAATGAGCAGAGTCCAAACAACCTGTAACGTTACTTACTAAGTAGTGTTACTGAATCATCTTAATGTTACCTTGAAAGCATAACATGAACAGAAATTTGCTGTCAGAACTGAAGAAGAGAAAACTGGTGCATGCTTTCGTTTTCAATAGGTTGGATTAATGTAAGTGTGTCTTTGCTTGTCTCTGTAAAAGCTAAATCAGGCAGTTGCAGCTCATCCAGGGCAGTGGATCCTCCCACACCAGTGTTTTGTGTAGATTTCTTTGAAAGAAACTCTGTTTTGTGAGAATTTATCAATACGGTTCATCCTAAATTATTCAATCAGACAATTCAGTTAAAATTCCAGGAAATTTCCTCACAGACAAACACACACACATAGGCATGATATATATCTCACTTCCTGCGTCATGATGCTCAGAAGCATGGACCATTACTAAAATTCCCCAATTCAATTTATACTTCTCCCCTCTGTGGCAGCTCACACTGACAGCCATGCATCATACTTACAATCCACCGACTCAGGGGTGTATGTCCCATAAAAAACCATCTTTGCTGCATCTGCCTCCTGCTAAGCCCACAGGCTGAGAGGATCTGATTTAATTTCCCAAATATATTAAATTGGTTGGTTTCATACAGCGACTGCGGAAAGCTTCAAGTTCACATGTTCATTTTGGGCCACAAAAGTTATATTTCATAAGACGTAAACTGCGTTGATCGTGATAATCTCCTGGATGATTTGAACTCTACCATTTACTATATTTATAAAAATGCTTGAAATGGGAGGTCATATGCGTCTCAGCCTCATCGCCTTTGCTTTGAGTGACATGGCCGCTAATCTGAGCCTCACGCTGAGAAACCCAGAGGATTGCCTCCTCTCCACCAGCCACTGAGATGTCAGTCCAGTTTAATTGAGACTGTCACACTCTGAATCCCGTGGCCGGAAACACTTAATAGAAGTCTTCCAGCTTATCTCCATTTTTAGCTAAATGAGGTGGATGCTTGGCCGCATCGTTATTGTTACTGACACACAGCAAGTGGGAAGGACTTTGTTGACTATCTGGAATTTTAAGGCCCATGTAAATTCAGTGTCCCCAAACATAGCAGCCTGAACAAAATGCAGCTGAACAAGAGCCACCTCTCAGTGTAACAAAATGTCAGACGTGCTTTCAAATGAGAACCGGTTGAGTTTATCAAATGCACCAGCAAAGCCAAACAAATTAAGCTCATTTGAGAATCATAAGAAAATCTGCAAAGCTTCTAAAAGTTCATGAGAGTTGTAGTTACATTTTCACCATGTGGTTAAAAAAGAAGTAAAAAATGTTTAAAATAAGAGGACAATTCTAAGATATTTTTTTAAAAATGCTTCATTGATTTTATTTTTTCATCTGCACTTTGAATGTACAAGTTATTTTTGTGGACATCAACCAAAACTCAAATGATAATAAAATTTTGCTGTCAATGCATTAAGTTGTGAGCCAGTGAAAAATGAAGGTTATGAAAACTTCATTCTGCCTTGTCTATAGTTTTTACCTGTAAATATTAAGAGTTCAAACCTATATTATATTGGCTATGTTTTGGACATTTTGGGCAATCAGAGCAGTTAAAGTATTTAATTACCCTTGCAAAAATAATCATATCACACAAAGTTACATGGCTTTACCTATAGGTGGATAAAATGTAATATTATGAATCCCAAGGCTTCAGAGTTAAATATATGTGACCCAGAACTAGTTACTCAACTCAGATCAGATTTTTTTAACTTCATATTCTATATGAAGTAACCAAAAAAGCCACAGAATGATCAACCAAATTTTGTTCAAGTTGTGTAATAAAAATATTAGCATATTTCTATTACATACAATAGAAAAAGAATAGGCATACAAAAATACACAAGACATATTTTTGTATGCCTCTTTTATCATACAAAAAGAGACAACAATTAGAGCAACAGACCAAAATTTGACAAAGTAAGTCAGACTTTATTCAAACTATTCTTTCTCTTTTCATTTTTAAATTGCAAAAAAATGTTCCATGGTAAGTGCAGCCGGTCCTACAGAGAAAGAAAATCAATGTCTTTCTGAGTCGGTGCTATAAAAAGGATATTGTGATTTGAACATGGGGATCAAGTCTCCATTTGATTCTCTAAATCACACGTCACCTTGTAGTGTGGATAAATGTAATTTTCTAGACAGGGAAGGTTCAAGACTGAGTGCATGTGTCCCACCACCACCTCATTCACAAACACACACTCACACACTGAGATCGCTGAAATCCTCCTCTGTTTTTATAACGTTATCTTTTATAAAAAGAAGTAAAAATACAATTAAAAAAAATATCTTGCTGTTGTAATTTTTGGCAAATCTGGTGGACTCACATTGCTTCACATGCCAGACACAGAGAGAGATAAACTTTATGTAACATTGAAAACAACTCGCACGTGAGGATCGTATGAATCTGTTGTACAGATTCTTGACTTTTGTTTCTGAGTGTGATGGATTATTATTAATATTCAGCTAGTGAGTTTTCTATAATGCACTGTAAAAAATAAATAAAAGAAGAAGTCTCTAATTTGTGGTAAAATACCAACAGCAGAATTTTACCACATAAATATGGATTTTACTGTAACTTTACGGTAACATTTCAGCAACCACAGCGGCTGATACTTTACCATAAATCAGACGATTTTTTTTTTTGTTTGTTTGTTTTTTACAGTGTAGCACAGCTGAACAACATGTTCCAGCCACCTTCAGTTGTTGCTGTTGTATGTCATGCAGGCACATTTCATAAACACACATTTTTGTGACATGTGAACCACAACAATAATTCACGCTTTCTTGCATTTACTAGAAGGTGGAACACATAAAACCACAAGGACAGCGCACACACTCCTGCTATAAATAAAACATATTTTGCAGCCACATTTATGCCAAGAACAAGCAGGAATGGTACAATTCTTCCCCCCAAATGACACCGAGCAGTTTCCCCCTGATGTAGGAAGCCCCAGAGTAGGTTGAGCAGCTTGCCATTTCCAGAATGTATTCGGGCTTGAAATGTGATATGGTCAGTTAGGAGAGCCAGACATTAAGGTACCGTTTGATGCGGATGAAAGTAACAGTGGTCAGTATGTGATCCATTGGGTTTAATTTGACCCTCCACTGAGATTTGTTTACTGGAGGGTCTTGGAGCCAGCTGCTGAGTTCAAGTGAAATGAATACTTTATATTTATGATGCATTTTTCAACTCTAGAACAAGTAAGACACATCTTCATTTTCATATGAACATCAGTATATTAATTAGAATAATAGCTTTCTGTTCATCCATGATTATTCTTGCAAAGTTTCAGGTTCTGGGTCCTACCTCCAGCAGCCATTGGATGACGGCGAGGTGCACCCTTGTGACACACAGAAAAAACAACCTTACCAATAACGCTTAAATAAATCTGATTATGGGTTGTTTGCATGTATGAAAAGAAGGATTTTTATGTTTTAATGTGCATTTCTTCTGTAAAACAGAAGAACTCGTGCATGTCACCGCCATCCAGAGAAATTGTGTGGTTGTCTGTGATTACAGTCACAGCTCACAGCTGATTTCTCTAAACACAAGCAAGCAGAATAAATTCTCACGGGCTTCACAGCGCTGTCATGATTCCTTTACACTTTTATGATGGCTTCTCTCCATAACACATCTGGGTCGTGCAGCCCTCGTGTGAGCAGGAAATTGTACTCATCAATCAAGGAAAAGTATCATTTACTGTTTTTTTTTTTAAGGGAGAGGAATCTATTTCACGATCTTCTCAGTTTTCAGTAAATGTCTGTGACATGCTTTTGGTAAAATGCCACAAACTGATCATACGGTGACGGCAATGGTTCAGTCCATTGGAACTGGGAAATCTGAATTTTCCAGTTCTAAATCAGAAAATGAAACAAAACATTAGGACATTTTTATCTTATGTTCCAAAAAATGATGTCATTTCTGATGCTGACACAAAGCAAGATCTGATAGGTGAAGATCTTTAATGTTGTGTTTTCAGCGCAGGCTGCATGGTTGGAGGCTGAAGTTGTGTAGCGATAACTGCATGAAGGCCGATTAGCTAATGAACCATCTCGACCATGAACCCGCAAATCATAACTCAATTTAGAAATCAAAACCTCAACAAAATGGCCAAGGTTTATTTACTTGTTTATTTTTATGTATTTGTTTGCTTCATTCATTTTCATCTTAGAGTGATCATGTTCACAAAAACTAAAGTACTGCATTAAAATAAGTAGTTTGAAGAAAAAAAGTACTCCTTTTTATTTAGTTTAGTTGGTTGGTAATCAACAGAACCCATATTTATTCTTCCAATCACCACAAACAATGACAAGTAATCTTTAAGCAAACAAAGGTAATACGTCCTCATACTTATTGAGGCAAAATGGCCGTAATGCCAGATAAACCTCTCAAACTGTTAACAGTTGTGTCTCTAATTCCTGTTCACATTGATCCAACCATCTGTTTTTCCTCTTTTTAATCCCCCCCCCACTCTCACCGTCTTCTAGTACAAGCAAGTGGAGCAGTACATGTCATTCCACAAACTGCCGGCTGACTTCCGACAGAAAATCCATGATTACTACGAGCACAGATACCAAGGGAAGATGTTCGACGAGGAGAGCATCCTGGAGGAGCTAAATGAGCCTCTGAGAGAAGTATGAGAATACTCCAGTTCATCTCTATGTCTGCAATTATTACACACCTTCCTCCTTTCTCATTACTGGACTTCTGGGATTGCATTATTTGCAGCCTTCTGTCATATGTGAATGAATTTCCACAGAAACTAATTTTTAAATAAATACCTGTCAGTAACTTAATCATGCATACGTATTTCTATGGATAGGTTGATGGCTGTTTAGATATCTGTTCCCAGATATCCCCCCCTCCAAAAAATGTCTTTCAGCCACAAGACCAGAATAGCTCAAACAAACTTCAAATTGCTATAGATGAAATATAATAAGCTGAATATTCAGTGCTATTGTCATAGAAGGTAATGAAACCAAAAGTGTTTTGATTTCAGCTGTTATTCGGCTGCAGTTTCCAGGCATTTAATTAAAACTAAATCAGATCTACTTTCTTCACCCCAAGAGAAGTTTGTATAACTTACTTCACACTGGCATAATGTTTAGCATTAAACATTGAAAGTTTTTGTTTTGTTTTGGGGTTTTTTCAAAACCCCATTCAAAGACCAAGTTGATCTGAAACAAAATAAAAATGCAGAACAGGATGTGATTTCTTTCATTTCAAAATAAAAGCTTGTAAGCAGCTTCTGGCTCTTTTAAGCCAGCTGGTAAGCAATGCACAGCAACAGGTGCAGCACCATACAGCTAAAGAAAGCAGCCCAATTCTCTGGCATTTTCTTTAAAAGACTCTAAGCCAATATATATTTTTCTGTTTGTGTAAGTCTGCAAATATTTCTCTTTTTAAGGCATGCAGAAGGTATGTGTGACTTGAATTTTCATCAATTTTTTATTTATTTTTCCTGCTTAGCTGGTAATAATGTTAGACACAGCTGAAATGTACCAGGTAGATCTGAGTTGGATCAATTATGGTTTAACGTATCAGAGAATTAATTGCTATTCAGTAAAAGCACCGTTTAAGTTTTGTTGCATTTTTACACATGCGTTGTGGTCTCAGTTGCTCCATGTTCACCTTTTAGGAAATTGTCAACTTCAATTGCCGTAAGTTGGTGGCCTCCATGCCGCTGTTTGCCAACGCCGACCCGAACTTTGTGACGGCCATGCTGACCAAGCTGAGGTTTGAAGTCTTCCAGCCGGGAGACTACATCATCAGAGAAGGCACCATTGGCAAGAAGATGTACTTCATTCAGCACGGGGTGGTGAGCGTCCTGACCAAAGGAAGCATCGGCATGAAGCTCATGGACGGCTCCTACTTTGGCGGTGCGTCACTTTACCGCATCGTTGATGCTGTGACATGCTTTCTGAATTCTCTGCACCTAAAATTGATATTTCCATACTTTGTTATGAAACAAAACAACACCCTGTAATTTTGAAACACTAATACGTCGGCCTTCTCCAACTGATTTCTTTCTAAATAATTCTTCCCCCACTTTACCCAACATGCACATGCTATACACTGATGGTCACATGACCTTTTCTTTTTAACACCCTGTAGTTAAACTCTGTGTGCTGAATTGTTAACGTTGGGTCCTTACTGCAGCAGATCAGAGTTCACTGATGTGAAAGATGCCCTTAGCACTGTTGCATTAACCCAAGTGCACATCGTGCTCTTGAGCATGCACATCCAATTAATGATAACTAATTAGCTTAGAGAAACTGAGTCTATGGAGCCATGCGTAATGTCTGATAAAAGGAGTTTAAGCTGTGCCTGTCAACAAAGAAGACGTCACATTTATCCTTGGATTGGAGAGACAGCAGGATCATCATGTACCATGTAGGGTATAATCATTAAATCACTTTGTGGAAGTCTGCATAAATGGTGAGTTTGATGCTGCAATGCAACCTGTGTCCTCTATTACCACTAGGTACCAGCAGATTATGGAAAGTAGGTGGGAGAGTTAGTTAAGTCGAAATTCAGTCAGATCTCCAGATTTAAATTTAGGTAGTTTTATAAGCTTACTAAGAAGTTACTTATCACAAAATATTACTCAATAATATTGATGTTTTAGAGTTGCCGCCTTTTAATCCAAGTCTTTTGCTAAGTACTGACATTTTTGCAGAAACACTTCAGCAAAAAGATTGAAGCTCAACCAGATTGGATGTAGAGTATCTGTACAGCTCCATCTTTAAATCTTAGCAGATTCTAGATCTGGACTTTGACTGGGTGCAGGGCACAGTGGTGCACTAGGTAGCACTGTTGCCTTGCAGCAAGAAGGTCCTGGGTTTGATTCCCGGCCCGGGGTCTTTCTGGCATGCGTGGGTTCTCTCTGGGTACTCCAGCTTCTTCCCATAATCCGAAAACATGACTGTCAGGTTAATTGGTCTCTCTGAATTCTCCTTTGCTGTGTGTGTGTGGGCATGGTTGTATTGTGTTGGGCTGCCCTGCGACAGGTGATCCTAACACATCAATAAGTTTAGATCAAGACAGAATGAAGCACACCAACAATAATACAAGGTGAAGTTGTATTATTTTGTACGACTCATCCCACCTCCACCCTTTGTTTCTATTGCTTCCCTGTTCAGCGGCCCATATGGGCCATATCAAAGTCTGCAACCACTAATTGGACATCTCCATATGCTATAAATAACAACAATAAATCCTTTACTCTAACAGGTCCCAAAACAGCTGCTGCAGTTGTTCTTCAAAATATCAGAACTACCCATTAACTTTGGATTCAAGTATCTTTGATAGGACCTTTGCTTTCTTAGCTCCCAGTATGCTATACATTATGTTTAGCCGTCATGACTACATAAAGATAATGTAGTCATGACGGTTGGGATTAGTCTATAATATATATATGGATATATATATTATATAGGCTATATATATTATAGTCTATATAAAGGATATATATTATATAATATTGTTTTCTGAATGCTTCGGTCTTGCACAGAAAGCAAAACAAAACATTCATGTAAAGTAATAAAGATAATGTATCCAAGGTGTGCTCATAAAAATTCATGTTCCTGCTAACGTCCACTCTGAATTTCCAGTATTTCTCTGCATTCATTGTCATCTTTAAGGAACTACAACTGGCCACCTGGTAGTAGGAACAATTTATTCAGCCCTCGTGGTTTCATTAGCGTTATTATCCTTTCAATGCACTGCCCACTGGCCACTAATGATGCTGGTAATATGCAAATGTGTGCGTTATTAGAAACCAGAAAGATCCCTGGTGAGGGTTTGTGAAATGATGTCTTGGCCAGTTTGCGAACAGTAACTCACACAGAAAGTGGAGCACCAAAACATTTGCACTATTGTGTCCCTGAAATCTTCTAAAGGTCCTTATTCGCGCATGTCATGCAAAATATAGCAAACGTGGCAAATCAGCAACCTAAATGAAAATATGCTGAGGAAATTTATCTGTTGCTATTGTGCAACAATACAACCTGAGTATAGTGATCTTTCTGCATCTTTATTGAGCTCCGTGAAGCAAAGGACTGAACGCTTATAACAAGCAAAAGTTGTCAAATTTGAATTTAACTTTGCTTTAACCAACCAAACACATGAGCCAGCTGTGCATCTGACTGATTTAGAAGAAACTCATTAGCTCCCATCAGAGAAACGCGTCACCCTGTGTGCTATAATTTGTAAAGTTTGATCAGTTGGTCGGTCTGCAGAGAATTTATTTGATTTATTCAGCAATAAGTGAATATAAAAGAACAAACCTCTGAGAGACAGATTGTTGTTTGAATAACCATCCGGTTGCTAATGGTGAGTAGGGTTGTGTTTATAAAATGATGTCAAAATACCTCAGGCACTCACAGTTTATTTTAGTGCAGAACCTTTATTTAGTTTCTTAATGGAGTATTCTTCTGATTTGTGATTCTCTCCCTTTTCCTCTGAGAGTCGGAGGAGGTCGACCTTTAAAGGCGAGGGAAAAGGAGGGCATGTGGTTGTCAAGACAACAGTCAGCCCCAGCCCTCAAAAAAAGTAAAGTTACGAGTAAAAAAATAAAAATAAAAAAATACTGAAGGAAAGGAGGAGGAACAAGTGAAGTAATGAAGCTTAGCTGCACGTCTCTAAAAATAGTGCTTCCTTAACACAGTTGTCAGTGCAGCGCAAACACACGTTTTTGTTAGTTGGTCAAACTAATTATGCATAAATCCTGCAATGGAAAATCACTGCGATTTGGATCTCATATTTGCTCACTCTCTTCATTCTCCTTCAGCGGGGGAAAAAAAAAAAAGATTAAAGTTTGTTTCAATGCAGTGCTTCACTTTTGGAGCCCTTCTCACTTCCTGACCGCCTAAAATCCGTCAGTCTGCAATTTTCTGGTTTCTAGTCATGCCTTTGCATTCCCTTTTTCTCCCCTCCAGAGATCTGTCTCCTGACCCGAGGCAGAAGGACAGCCAGTGTTCGAGCTGACACCTACTGCCGCCTGTACTCCCTCTCGGTGGACAATTTCAATGAAGTGTTGGAAGAGTATCCCATGATGAGGAGGGCCTTTGAGACAGTTGCCATCGACCGACTGGACAGGATAGGTAAGACCATCATGTTGTTGGACGAACAGAAGCAGTGGAAGACTTTAGCATTCATTTTTGTCAGCAGTAATTACAATACGTAAGGTTGTTTAGTAAAGAAGTGTCAGTTCAAGGCTTTAAAACTATTTAGGAAAAAAAAAAGATTATGTATCTCATATTGACAATGCTAAAATGTATGTGATAAAAAAAAAAATAACTCCCCAATAACATAATGGGAAAATAAAAAAGTGTAGCAGTTTTTCTGTCTCTTCCTTTACTTTGGAACCAATTTTAAAGTGATACTTGGCTGATTTGGTGAGTTTACATTAACATTTAGATCTGAGTCCATAACACCAGCTATTTTTTTGGTAGACGTTAGATGCATTAAGTCTAGTTGTGTCTGAATGTGTCTGCTCAAACACACTTTTGATCAATATTTGTTTTACACAAACATAAAAAGAACGTACGATTCTTTCATAAAATGCAGCGATGGAAAGAAAAAAGATGTTTTTTTAGTCATGTTTCAAAAACGCTGGTCCGTCCAACAACTGTGACAGCACTGCGGGAAGTGACACTTAAACATTCTTTGTTTATGTTGTCATGTCTCAAAGCTTTCAGTGAATTTTGCCCTCTAAAGTTGAAACACACGCATGCACACACACACTCTGTTGTTATTTTCCTTCACAATGTGAACAACGTCTGCCCACCACCTTCTGGAGGTCAGCCGCGCTGCTGTTTCTCGCATAACCACATTTGACATGTGCACCAAAAGCTCCGCAGCCGCCACCTGTCAGGTGTTGCCATAGCAGCCAAATTTTGTGCCCGAGTACCCCATCAGTTTGACGGCTCACTTATTTGGGGAAAGACTGTTTCAAGGCATAACCAGCAGCCAAACAGCTCCTCTAGGCTCCACACATGCATCAGTAGTCACAGAAGCTTTTCTGTTTTTTTGTTTCACCAACAGCACCTTTAAATAAAGATAAATTAAGGGTTTGTGTAAAGTGTATATTGCTGATGCAATATGTGTTTCTCTATTGTCCCTCTATTGTGCCAGAAACACTCGCTCATAAGCTGCAGGCTGAGCCCAAGAAACTGTTTTACAGTGGCATAAAACTTGACAAGAAAGCGCGATTCGAAGATTGCGTTATACTGTAGGTTCCCATTAAATTCTAGAAATGAGGCAGCTTTGTCGAACCAACTCATTCAAAACAGTCATAATCTTAGTTTTAATCAACTGTGGCATGAAAGAGTGTTTTATTTATAGAGCACTTTTCAAAGTCGTAATCACAAAGCACTGTGTATCTAATTGTATTTCATCACTCCTCAGCAGAGGCCCTTTGCAGGCAAAGGACTGAATTCATTTTTTTTATTTCAGTTTTCGAGTGTGTATGAAAAGACATACTACCACAATAGCCTGGAGAAAAGCTGCTTTTCATCACATCTTTGCACATCAGCCTTGCTTTTCAATGGCATATAGTGATACACAACATTAACCAAGTAACACTTCAGCATAACCTCTTCATCTTTTACTATAGCTTACATAATTTGACCTCCAGCTATGAGGCAGGCTGCCAGAAACCTTTTAAAGTATAAAAAAAAATGTGGCATGAGTGTTGTTACTCGGACAACATGTATATTTCACATATGATTTGCAGATTTTATTCAAGTTCAACAGAATTGTCACAGTGATGACCTAATGATGAGCTTACACAATTAAACAGGGACATAACCACAAAAGTACCTTACTATGTCCTCAGACATTTACATGACTGTATGGTGCAAGATCAAAAATGTGTTAGTCTGACAGCAGGATTCACATTGTAGCCAATAAAGTACAAGTCAAAATGTACAAATCCCACTCTTTGTCCCAGCCATTCGTCGCTCCCTCCTTTATTTGACAAGAAAGAGGAAAAGATGGGGATGGGAACTGTTAGACGGATTAGTGTGGAGTCTGCAGTTATGCGAGCGCTGTACAGTCCTGTTGTGGTGAAGAAAGAGCGACGCCAAAAGGTGAAGCACTCAATTCCCAGGCCAGTCTACATCCCCACCTTCATCTATGGTCACAAGTTCTGGGTAGAGACGAAAAGAGTGAGACCGTGGATACAAATGGCCGAAATGAGCTTCCTCCATAGGGTGTCCAGGCTCTCCCTAAAAGACAGAGTGGGGAGCTTGGATATTCGAAGGGGAGTCAGACTGGAGACACCAAGAAGAGCCAGTAGAGCCGGCTCGGGTATCTGGTCAGAATGCATCCTGGACGCCCCCCTGGTGAGGGGCTACAGCCACCTCCCACCAGGAGAACATCCACAGGAAGACCCAGGGTACTCTGGAGGGACTATGTTTCTTGACTGACCTGAAGGCCTCGGGATTTTCCTGGAGGAGCTGCCCCAAATTACTGGGGACAGTGAAGTCTGGACTTCTCTGCTTAGGTTGCTGCCCCTCGGACCCAATCCTGGATTAATTGAAACATAATAGATGGAAAATCTCCTTTTCATCTTAACCTGATTCTCCTTCTTAAGCAACCAGCACTTTTAGTTTGCGTGCTTCGTCTCACCGCCTTTCCTCAGTTCTAAAAGCATCATTTTCACTAAGCATCTGGCTTTCTTGTTAAGAAGAGATTGAAAGCTCTTTTTTTTCATCTCCATCACACTTTGTACTTGTTAATTGACAGGAAACTCATCTCATTCATCTCTAACACACATCTCAGTAAATTGGCAGTGTCTTGGTTCGTTCTTATTATCCTTTCATCTTAATCACCACAGCTGCGTCTTGACCCTGTCGGAACCTCTGCTCAAACTCACACCTGCTTTCACAAATTTAATTGGTGCAGCTTTGTAGACAACTCAGCAAGGAACTTGTTCCACAATCACCTGCTTTCATTTTGATCTTTAAATTATCCAGAACCAAACTTAAATTTGACATTTATTGAGGCCCCAGTTGGGATGTTGAAGGTTCATGACCGACTAGTGATTCCCAAATGTGCCATTTGGCTTCTGTTCCACAAATGACAGTAGAAAATACTAGTTACACCCACTCTTTGTTGACTCTGTAATTAGTAGGTAAATGGTACAATTTCCATATAAGAAAGCATTGACAGCCTGAGTATCGGTTACTTTTATCTATTATGGGATTATTTTAGTTAAAAATATAATCTACAGACAAGTTAACATTTACCAATAACAATTTTTTAATGTAATTTCATGTCATTTCTGAAGAGGTTCTCTTGATCCCATACTCATTAATTTGTGACCCCGAATTTTGTGTGTCTAGGTTACTTCAAGATAAAAGACTTTTGTTTTTCTTTTGTTTCGATTTTTCTTCACCTCCTTTATTAATACTTCATGCTTTGTTTATTTATTACTGCTTCAGAGGACATTTACTGTACCTATCAGTTACAGAGCATCGCATGTCTTGAATTTTATAGCGGTGCTATAAATATCTGCCACTGTTAGGCCATCTTCTATAACAGTAGCCAAAGGTTGACTACATGGATGAAATCTGCTGTCCATCTGCCTCAAAATTCATGCATTATATACTTTGTATGACTAACGTTGTAGCTGTTGCCTTGTGCATAATTATCTCGGTCCTTTAAATCTTCCTCAGGAATCTAGGAGCTGATCAACACCATTTCCAAAGGGGTTGCACTTAGTTTCTATTTCAATAGGCTCCAGTTTGCATAGAAACGTAAAACAGGCATTAGATAAGAAGGTTTCAAGGTTAAATTTGTGTGCCTTCACATACTGGCCCTATAAAAATACTTTTGCTGGAAATGCTGGAAAGCTCTTTGTATCATGGACTTTACTTTGGTGTTGCACTTTCATGACACTCCTACAATGTATTTCCATACTACAGTGATGTAGGTTAATGTTCTCTTCTGTTGCAACACAGAATAAATTTCAACTACACATAAATATTCTGTGTTCACGTCTTGCAGGCAAGAAGAACTCGATCCTGATGCACAAAGTTCAGCATGATCTCAACTCTGGTGTTTTCAACAACCATGAGAATGAGATGATTCAGGAGATAGTCAAATATGATCGGGAGATGGTTCAACAAGTGGATGTACTACGGCCACGGGCAATGTCCATGACATCTCCGCTCCCTGGCGGGATCTTTTCTTCTCCTGGTTCCTCCACTCAGCCTCGAGACTCGGCAATCGCCACCCTGCAGCAAGCTGTGGCGATGAATTTTTGTAACCCCATGCAAGGAAACTCAGTGGGAGCAGGGCCCTTGCAGTCTCCTAGGATGGTGAGGAGATTCCAGGTGATGCAGAGTGTACCCAGCCCGGTCTCTGCTTCTCCACTCCAGTCGCAACTCCTTGCCTCCGGTGCCTTTGCTCCAGTCTTGGCCAGTCCCCCTGTTCAGAGTCCACTGGCTGCTGGAGGACGATCATTCCAGTATGGATCCAGTGCGCTGACTGGCCCGATATCAGGCTCCCAACTATCTCTAGTTCAGCAGCACATATCCAGTCCTGCACACCGGGCCAGCATGCATAAGAGCACCCATTCTTTGCACCTGGGAAGCCTGAGCCAAGATGTCAGGGCCCTGTCAGCATCTCAGCCCTCACTGCCTCACGAGGGGGTGCAACCAGCTGTCCCCAGTCCACCCCAGTCAATACAAGTTTCTTCCACTTCTATTGGACCCCCTCAGTTGCCAATGGGCCTCTCAAGCATTCGGAGTGCAGTTCCTCATAGGGTAGTACTCCCCCACCAGATGTCAGTGGGGGCCTTCCCTGTAGCATCTTTGCCTGGTTCTGTGCATGGTTTTGCAGCAGGGGTGGCAGTGGGTAGCATGGGGACAGGCCAGGGGGACACGCTGCCACCTAAAAAGGACTCAATAACGAGCCTTCCAGAGACAGACCACATCAAGGTGAGATCTAGGCTATCCTCAAATTTGTGATCTCAATCAAACTGTTCTCGGGGGAGTGACTGAATGAGGAACACGATCACAGGAACATGTTCCTCTTCTTTTTCCAAGTTTGACTATCTGAATGTATGAATGTTGAGCGAGTTGGCAGCATCCAAAATATATGAATCTAATGACATTTGATTCTACAACACTGAGATGTTTCTACTCACAGGTGTAGTTGCACAGATAAGTAAAAGTGAAGTAGCATATTTCACGACATAGCTAACAATATATTCTTCAGTGTCCTCCCATTCTCCTCATACCATATGAACCTGAGGTCAGATGGTTTAAAATTGTTATTCAGGGAACTGCTTTAGAAATCAGACGTTGGAACTTAATTTGTGATTATTTACTGTAACTTCGTAACGTGCCAGAGCTTCTTCTTAAACTTTTTTGCTTCATTGTCCCTTTCAATATATCTTATCGACTTATTGGGAAGCACAAATGACAAAAAAAAGAGACAATTTTTGACTACCTTACGACAACGGTAAAAGCCATACTTCAGATAAAATATTATGATTGGACTGCTGACAGTATTAAGAAAACTATAATTTTACTGGCATTTCTTCTAGCAGTGAAAATGTAACACGCAAAACCCCCAAAATTCTTAAAAGGATAGTTTGGTTTTCAGTAGATGGCGGGCAGAGAAAATTTTGATTGAAGAAATAATCTTACACAGGAAGAATTGTTTCTCAGGCTCCATTCACACCAGATTGGGACTGGCTTATGTCCTCCAGACCCTCCATGACTGTCAGGAGGTTGCTGAGTCAGGCAAAATATCAATTTCAGTAGGCAGGCGATAATCCTGCGGTGCCTTTAGTACTCATCGATAACTCTCATCAAATATGTGTTTTTGTGTTCTCGCAAACCTACAGCCACAAGTGTCACATCTTCTCTAAGGAGTTTCTTATCAGTGCATAAATATTTGACACCATCAGTTTCAATCTTACTATGGTTTTCTGAATACTTTGTACTGCTGGCATCCCGTGTGATAATGCTAACTGGGTGCAATGCTGTACATCTTAAACTCTTCATGTAACCCCACTATGAAAGAACCAAACTATTCAGTTAAGATCAAGGGGGATTTTATAATCCATACTGAAACTACAGTGGTGGGATGAATGTGATTTTTTGTGTTTTTCTTTCTTTTTTTTTCAAAATAATTGATTTGTGCTCTAGTTATCCCCATGTTTGTTCACTTTATAGTTTGTAAATCTATAGAGGATGAGCTTTCAACCCTACATCACTATGCACCTTTTTGTTTTGTTTTTAATGGTTCAACAACATCTTTTCAACCACATGGAAATTCCTACTAGCAGCCAAAAATGTTACAGTAAATTATGCAAAGTTCAACAACTGGCTGATAATTTTGTTTTTTTTCTTTTAAATGAAAAATGATATATATAAAACTTACTTACTAGCCATGGTGAGAAAAAGGTTATTGACAACAAAGAAACATTCTTATATCTGCTGGATGTATCCAAGAAGTTAAAGAAACAAAGTTTGCTTTGGGCCTCTGCAGCGACTGATCAGACTCAAATGCATCCCAGGAGGCAGTTCTTATTGCCCAGACTTGAACTGCGATTCACTGCCAGTTACAAACTAGAAACTTATTACAAGTTCAATTGTAAACTCAGGCCCCTATCATTGCAATGTAAATTCATTATTTTCTAATACTGAGTTTTCACTTGCCTTTAGTGGCCGTTTAGGCGATGCATCTCTATGCCAAAGTCAATTCTCGCAAATAATGAATCTCCTGTTACCGCCACCATTTAGATAAACAGCCAAGGACAGCACCGAACCTTCGCAGGACGCATATTGCAGTGTGCCTCTGTCATTGATGCCTCGGCAAGAAATCATCGAATGCCACTGATTTGTGTCCAAAAGCATTAGGAAGAAGACCCTTTTCTCCCGGACCCGACATCCTATTCACCTCAGCTCACGATTGGCTGAATCATTACAGGGTAATGAGAGTGGAAAATGGAATCCCTCAGGCCTGTTTGGGTCCGTTATTATCATCCTTCAGCTGGATTTCATTATACTGTGCCAATAATGAGTTCCTCTCCTATGATCATTTTGCATTCGCGTCCTGTTTAGTCTGCGCTCTTGCACAGTCATCCACCTTGGGAGTTTCAAATTGGACAAAAAAAGTAGATGGTTTTAAAGTTGTTGTTTTTTAAGATCTATTGTGGGTTTTTTTTTGTCTTGTGATTAAATTATGCCCACAGGAACTGATTTAGGTACTCCAAAGTAATTAATACAGGCTTGTTATGAGAACTGTGCTTATTTTACACTGTGTCCTGGGATAGAAGACGCAGTTGGTGACCAAATTAGTTTTGGACCTATAACCGAGACAAGAGCAATGGTGCAGGGGAAAACGGAACTAAAACGGGACTTACCATGTAACAATAGTAGTTCATGTGTACATTCACTGAGCACCTTTTTGGGCACATCTGTTCAGTTGCTTTCTTCCACAGATACGTCAGGCAAAGACTTGGCAGCATTTCAGTGCAATTAGGAATCTAGTTGACTTCAACACAACTTGAGTTCAAACCAATAACCTGCAAAGGGGACGGAAGAGGGCTTAAATCTATTTACTGTAGATGTTGGTGCCAGATGGGCCAGAAACTGATGCTCTACAGGGACTTTCACTCACAACTATCTTTGGGATTTCCAGAAAGTTGTGAAATCCCAAAGTTGTGTAAAAGAAACTCAACTTTCGAGGTTGCAAATGGTGCGTATGTTTTCTTGGCACATTTCGGACAACTTGGTGCCAATTGAGCATTGTGGAACACCTGGACCTATAACCGAGACAAGAGCAATGGTGCAGAGTAGAGTCACCAACCACCTCTTTTCCATTATGGTCACAGTGTAGCCATCTTCTGTACCATGTCATAAAGCTCAATCCCAGACTCATTTACTTAGACACTGTTCACTGTGAACAGTATCTCAAATGTGAACACATTTGAGATATGGTCGGATTGGGACATTTTAACTAAGGATGTTCAGCCAACAAATCTGCAGCAACTTTTGATCTGTCTTTCCAAAATGTGCCAAGACCTTGGAGAGATGTTCCTAGGCACCTGGTTGAATCTATGCTGCTGAAGAATTAAGTCATATCTGAAGGCAAAACGGTGCCGGAACTAGAACTAGCCTGGTGTACCTATTAAAGTGGCCAGTGAATGTACATTCAGAGAACCATCACAGAGCTCCAGATATTGCATGTACTTTTTTGACCAATAAAAACACTATAATTTTCATAAAACCCATCAGTGTAGAATTAAACCAAAGCTACAAATGATGCAGCTTTTGAACACAAAACTGGCCTGACGCAGATCAGATATCAGAACATTAAATGAATCCAGTCTGTTCCGATGAATGTGACATTTGTGACAAGCAATAATGGTCTAAAAGAAGACTTAGTGGTAAACTTATGCAGATGATGCTCAATTATACTCTTGATTTGTCTGTGGAGATGTAACATTTTAAACCTTACACCGGTTTTTGAAACTCTACTGAAAATTTTGTGTTGGTTGTTTCTTTTTGTAAGCCGATAACTCAGTTTAAACCACCACCCTTACTATGAATAACTTGATTGACATGGTTATTTCTATGTGTAAACATAGCTTGCATCATGTAAACGAGACTATTTATTTATGTAACCTGGTTCACTATTATTGTAGACCTATTAAAAAAGGACATGTTGAAATAACTATTGTCTTACTCTTGACAGAAAGCATATTATGATCTGGACTGAACTGACAAATCTTCAAAATTAAAGCAGACGAAAATTAGTTGACATGACAAAAGATGTATGACTTTGTTTTCTACACATGTTTGCATTTGTGTAAAAGTTATTTATCTGTCTGCTTTCCGTACCTCAGTGCAGTTTAGAAACTTGGTTGGCACACTGATTCTCAGATTTCCCCCAAAATTTTGGAAACTTTTTGTTCAGTTCCCTTTTTGTCTTTTTGCAATTTTGCAAACATATTTAGTGTTATATAAATGTTACAGAAACTCAGCTGTTCGACCCGCAAGGCATCAGTAAAGAAAACATCTGTGCTACGCACACTTTCACACATGGCTGCAGTAGCATTTTGACATCTGGATTTGAAACGCTGTGGACTTTGTTGCATGATTCTGATTATTTCTTTTGTTTTTTTTTTAAATCATGAATTCCAACTTTTTCCTTTAAAATATTAATATAAACTTTTCCATCTAATTAGATTTTTTAAAATGATCAGTCAACACTGAATTCCTCATATTGACCAATGACATCTGTCAAGAAAAAAATGCTTAATGCAATTTTGTCCTTATTCAAAATCAAACTTTACCTACCCATTTCTCCTCTGTGGCATCTCTGCTCTCTTTATGCATTTGCCGAGCAGAGCTGTAACTCTCCTCAAATGAAGTTGCAATACTTCTCAGCAAAATATTGATCCACCTTTTATGAATCCAATAATAAAACCAATCAATACTGCATCGCTACAAACGAAAGCCTTGGTGGAACAAGTCATTAGCAGGGAATATTTTTGACTTTAAGCCTAGCTTTTCTTTTTTCCATATATATATTTTTTATTTCTGTCAATCACAGAAATGTAAACAAATGAGTTACATTTTAATATTTAACTTTCCTTTTCAGTTATTACTCTTTTGGCTATCATGTATGTAATAAAAGCACCGAAGCTTAATTTGGCTTTTCTAACAGAAGCAAAAACTTTCCAGTGAGAGCATTTCATGGTGAATGCATCTGCTTTTTGACGGTAGTGATGTTATTGCTTTTACTTTCACAGCCAGAATTTAATATCTGCTTCTTCAATCTTTGAAACCGACACTTCAGCACGTTACAATAACATCTGTCACGGTGAGATACCGCCTTTATTACATTTTAAGTTTTAAATGTCATACAAAAAAAAAAAAAAAAGAATAATTTGATGTTTGTCCATCCGTTTAGGCCATTTTGCATCATCTGTCTCGGCCCCATCCTGCTACTTAGAAATATCAATATTTTAGGAGGAACCTATTCTGCCTTCCTGACAGCGACTGGTTGTATCGACTACACTCTCTTCTGCCTCTCTGGTTACACATTAGTCTTTACTTGCAACTGTGTGTGAATGTATGTTTGGGCAGAGGTTTAGCAGGCTCTTCTCAAAAACAATGAAATGCATGGGAACGTTAACGGGATGTTCGATATTTTGGTGGGTGGTATGCAGTCCAGAGTTTTTTTTTTTTAGGAGTAGACAAACTCTCTTTTGTTTTGATATGGTGCTAAAGTCAGTTGCTTGTTGGGGCCGAGACAAAATTCACAGGATTGTCTTAAGATTTCCCTTCTTGGTCCCTTGATCTGTAACAATTTCACTTGAATAATGCAGTCAATAAGTTTAACAGCTGCAGCTATTTGTAACTTATCGGAAACAGCATTACGCTGCACTTTTGTGCACACCAACAAGGCCTCGCCTTTGACTTGTTTAGTTGTGAGAAGGGTAACCTGGCTGTCGGCTGAAGTCACTGGAGCGTCGCTCTACCAGCTGTGCGTTGGATGGTAGTTAATCAAGGCATCACTACCTGTCAGTCAGAATAAAGGTCAGAGCAGCTCACACTGATGCGCACAAACACGCACACACACACACACCTGCCGACACTGCATCACCTGTCTCTGTTCCCCCACTGCGCCGCCTCCTGCTTCCTCTCCCCTGCCGTCGGAGAGCTCCGGCCCAGTTCTCTCCCCTCCATGTCTGACTCTGCACTCTGCTCCACCCGCCCCCTGCAACTGCTGCTGAGTGCAGGGCTCTCTCGACACCACGGGGCCGCCTGATAAGGCCGGGAGAGCCCAGGAGCCTGGCTGGAGAATCAAAGTCCCCTCGGTGAGAGTGAGTGGTGCTGCTATCTCGGAGCGGCTTCCATCTCTGGCGTTGTCTGGCGGATAGCGGCCAACACTCGCATAGTGCTCACTTTTGTTTCAATCACACATATGCTCACTATGCGACACAGATAACTTGGCTGTTTTCAAATGATCACTTCATATATTGAGGGGAAAGCCTGTCCCAACAAACCAGACCCATTGTGGAAAAAAGAAAAAGGTGGAAATATTTGCTCCTAAATCTAAACTACACGTGCATGACATTAACAAATTCCGTCGAGCATTAATTTGAATGAACTACAAACGACTTTTAGATCACAGTTAAACAATTTTTACAGAATTGTTTTAATTCAGTCACATTAAAGGTCATGCCACATGATCTTTTTTTGAGTTATTCAGAGGTGAGTTAGTGCTGGCACAGTATCGCTGCAAAACCCAAGTGTTCTTGAGAATGAGGCCATGATGTGATCGCAAGTGAGTCACCGTCAGGATTTTCTCGCAAAGAGGAGAATTTGTCGTTGCTTTGAAATTCACCCATAGAGTCTCTTTCTAATTATTGAATCGTGAACACAAACATTGACTGGAGTGAGGCCTGCATTGTTTCACCTGTCCTTCCTGGATGAAATATGTCTTGGAGATATTTTGACAGGTTGGGAAGGTGCAGCTCTTCTCCATGTTTCCTGTGTTTGTTGTTAATAACTCTCACTGTGGTTCCCTGTATCCTCCAAACATTAGAAACGACCCTGTTGCCATTTTCAGACTTCTAGATGGCAATGACTCAAGTTTCTTATCTGTTCCTTTCTATGATCAAGGTACAATGTGTTGCTCTTGAGACCGTTTTGGCCTTCCTCTTGTCAGAAAGTTCTATTTTATGGGTTTGTTGATTCTAATCAACCAAAAGAAGAAGAAGAAAAAAAAAATAAGTAAAGGTGTTTTTCTAAGTTGCAACTTGGTTATTTCACTCATCTAGTATTTTTTTTGGTGGTCATGTTTGGCTGGAGATTACAGCAGTATGCTTTGAGTGTGAGACGGGGAAACGCCATCATCAGGTTCTTACTTTATCACCAACGCAGACACTCACACTCCTGACCAATTCAGAGTCCTCCACTTGACTCGCATTTAGCTTCATGCCAGCAGAAAGTCAAGCAAAGTAACTTCGAACAGACACAAAACAGCCTGGCAGATCTCTTCCTATAGAAAGTCATGCTACAAGTAAAATTTTAAATATCCACTATTTCTGTAAAAATGTGTAATTTCTGTAATGTTGACTGAAAATTGACTGAAAAATAAAATAAATTTCAGTCAATCTTTATGACTGAAAACCTCACATTTCAGTCATAAAAATGGACATATATATTTTTAAATACTTTTATTTGAGGAATAGGTATCATGAGACTGCGTCCTCCTGAAGTCTCATGACCCGTCAAGCTAAACTGAAGCTGCACTTTGCTCCAGAGATTCCTTCAGCCAATCGGCTCCCAGCAAAAGCCAGATGTTCTGCTTTCAGACCTGACCTCGTCTTTCACACCGGCCTGCTCCCGGTTCGGCTATTTTAAGTACTGCAGCAGGTCTTTCAGCTGATCGACAGTCGCCAGTTAACTGTCCGTCACATATGAGCTACATTAAGGCCCCGGCATCATCTCTGCGTCCGTCCAGGAGCGAGGTTAGGAGTGTTGAGGTCGTGTCACGGTATGAAACGCGATGCATGTTGAGCGCGTGTGGTACAAGAGAGAGGTCAGACCTTGAAAGCTCGCTGAGATAAGAGGGATGCAGAGCAGAAGGAGACCTTGGTTTATTATAGCATAAAAATAATTTGTTCATTGAGGCAAAAAGAAGGGCAGTAAAAAAAAAAAAAACTAAAAAAAAGGGTAACTTCAGTCTTTTTTATGAGGTTATTGTTCATCTAAACTTTTCAGATTAATACTGAGACATGACATGTAAATCAATGCAGTATGTTGTAACAGTATAACAGCTACAACATAATTGTAATTAACTGTTAGTGGTGCTACTATTATTATGTTTGCCTAAAGTGATTGTTTTCTGTCACACAGCACTTCGCAACTCGTCACAATTGATTTTATTGGGGTTTACTGGGGTCGGCTGAATCAAAATGAAAAGCACACTTTTAGATTTTTATTTAGAAATAATTTGGAACCCATAGTCAGAGAAAGTCCTAATAAAATTGAAGCTTGTGGTCATAAGGTGACAAAACCTAAAAAAAGAAAAAAGTTTAGAGGTTATGAAATGGACTTTGTGTTACATCTGACTGAATGACAGACTAAATTAAATCTTATTGACTGAATTGTTGTTTTCAAAACATATTAAGAATATAACTCTGCTAAATAGCCTCTTTGAACCTGTAGGTCTGTTTTTAACTAAGGAAAAAAAAATCTTGCATCTCTTGTTATAATTGTCCGAGATTCCTTAAAAACAAAAACAAAAAACCATATCTGCATTCAAGTTTAGTGTGGAGTTTAAATAAGGGCTGGATGGATTTATTGGCTAAGATTTTCTTAATTTTGAGAGGCTGGTTATCCAATCTTATCCACAAATCTTATCTACCGCAGCAAAAGTCTAAAAATCATGTCTGCATGTTTGCAGTTAACAGTCGTCACTCCGTGTTTTCCAACTCAGCAATTTTCTTGGAATATTTAGCAACATTTCAGCCCAATAAATAAAAATTGGCCAAAATCAGAGTCAGCAGGTCCAGCACTTCTTAAAGACTGGAGAAAACAGCATCGGCGCTACTTTTAGTTCCAGTCTTACTTATTGCAGAGGAACCAAGAACAGCGTACGGTGTTCAAAGTTACTAAGAGCTATTAAACGCCAGCATCAGCCAAAAGACAAGGCAGCTCAGGGCATATATCGCTGTGAACTCAATCCAGCAGGTGAGATGACAGATAATTTGGACAAGAATAAA